CGTCTCCCTCCCTAGATAAGTAACGGCAGGCGTTTGTGCGGCTCTGCACTCTACAAGCCCAAGGTGACAGTGGCACTGAAGATCTTTTGGCTGGATGAACAGGCCCATGATCCCCTGCAGGGGACCTTTCCTGTCTCAGCCACTGGACCTATTTCCCTCTGTCTATGAAGCTGTCCTGTGCCTGGTCCTCCTTGGCACCTGTTCATCTGACCCTTTTGCAGGCCTCTTCCTAGGCTGAGTTCTAGAGCTGACAGTTATATGGGAAATCTCAGCGGGATACTACATCCTTCCTGCCTCCCGACCCGCCTCCCCCCCCCCCCCCCCCCCCCCCCCGGTTCTCCCCATATTTACTCTGACAACCTCTTGAACTTCTCCAACACTCTTTAGGTCTAGCTCTGGGCAATCTGCTGCCATGACAACAGTCCACTTTTGCCATTGGCTTCCCCTACCCTAACCGCCCTGTCCCCAAAGCATTCTGACCTGCCCCAGGAGAGCTCCCAGCATGCCTTGTATTCAAGTGCATCTGCCCAGCCTGAATGAGGGAGGTTGGGCAGAGCTTCTTCTGGACACAAGAAAAGGGCTTGGGTCCAACCCTAGTTGGAAAACAATGGACCCATTAGGTGATGAGGTCACAGCTTTGACACCAGACCTTCCTCACGTACATTTTGGATGTGAAGCTGAGTCATGACCCACAGCTATGTGTCTGGGCAGGGCGAGCAGTCCATGCCCACTTCTGAGTCTTTCATTCACCAGTGCCTGCTTTGCATCCCAGTGCTGGGCACTAGCCAAGCTGAGTGCATCAGGGACTTCTGTCTGAAGAGTCCAGCAGAGGACCCTGACCCTCCTGGCTGTGTTACTTTCCCTGGCTATACTCTGCGATAGGTGGGTAGAGGGGACGTCTGGGCATGGCTATTTCTTCACAAAGGAATGGTATCAAGGTCACCCATGATCATTCTTTGTCCCCTGTCTTGGTGTAAGCTTATCCACAAACCGGGGAAAACTCTATGCCATACATCTCAGGCGAGAGCCTGGTCTCAGTGACCTCCCTACCCACACTCTCCTGGTTCTCCTCCTTGCCAGGCTAGGCATCCTCGGCAGTCTCCCCCTTCACTATGATCTGGCTCCCTCCTCATAGCCTATGGCTAGCCACCTGCTTAGAATAGGGTCCTAACATGCATCAAGTGACTTCTCTAGGAGGCCTGGAACTTGGAGAAAGAACCAGTGTCTCCCCAGAGGTCCAGGCTAGAATCCACTGCCTGGTCCTTCACCACCACCCGTCCCCGACCCCTCTATTCACCAGTTCTCAGCCTGCAGCCTTCATGGCTCCTCAATGGGCCTCCAGCTCCTCCTTCCCCTGCACCCTCCCCTCTCATCCAGGCCTCAGCCACACGCCCAGGCCGGCTCCAGCTTGACTCAAGAGTGGAGAACTGTTTCTCTAGAGACAGGCTGATGTTACCCTCTGGCTCCACATCCTCTACTGGTGCTCTGTAGCCCTCAAAGTCAAGTAACTTGGCTGGGTATGTAGCTCAGTGATAGAATAATTGCCTAGCATGTGTAAGGGACCAGGATCCATCCCCAGAATGGGAAAAACATTAAACAACTCAGTTCTCAAGGCTAATAATATCTCATCTTTCTCTTCATCTGTGGCCCTCCATTGGCTTCGGGCTCTCCCTTCTTGGGGTTTTCCTTCACACCTCCCAAGTAGGCTCCTGGGTACCTGTAGCAGGCCATGGAAGCTCTAGATGGCAGGTGGGGGTTCCTGGTGGAAGAAAACATCAATATTCCAAGCAGTGGTACTTTACTGTGTGCCTCAGTTCCCTATGAGTTGGATGGATGTCAGTCAGCTTCCAGGACTTCCTGTTTAGAGTCAGGTGGGAAGGGTTGAGGTCCTAGTCGGGCTTGGTTACATCTTGTCTAGCAGGATGACTATGGCTAACGGGCTACTTCTCCCACTGCCACCATGTTTGAGCACAGACACATTAGATGGGGAGGCTGCACTTGGTACAGCTAGGACTGAGTAGGACGCCTCTCACATGTGAACGCTCACTGAGCATGAACCAAGACTGAGGCTCTGTTATCATTTGCCGTCGGGGGGCGGTGGGGAATGGAAGCCAGACAGGTTGAAGGACTCTTCTCGTGTGAGCTGAAATTCCCAGCCTGGAATCTGAATCTATTTCCATCGGATTCTAGAGTTGTCATGGGAGGACGGCAGGCAGGGAGGCAAGCAGAGACACCTGGGAGGGGATGAGAGGGAGCAGGGGGCGGTGATGGAGAGGTCAAGAGGAGATTGGGACTGAATAGCATTTGCTGCTGTGTGGTTAACAGAAACTCAGGGGAGGGGAGTGTGTCTGCAGGAGGGGTTTGCATGCTCCTGGTGCCCACCTCCCATAGTGCTAGCTCCTTGAATAGCCATGTGGCAGGGACCAGAGGCTAGCAGAGTGTCAGGGAAGGATGTTTTAAGTTCTGTTGGTTGGAGGGTCTGTCCAGGACCTCCAAATGGACCTCGGAGGGCAGATATTTCCAGAGGTGAGAATCCATCATCTTTACACTGCCATTCGGATCCCTAATAAGGAAGTAATAATATTGCCAAGTCTTTACCACGCTCTCTATGAGCTAGTGAGAAGACTAATTATCTGACGACACTAATAAATGGTTATGATGTTATTAAAAATGGCACCAAGCTAGGATTAACAGGCCCATCAATTGTAGGGAATTGGGTTTAACAAGGTCTCCTGCATGTCCCATTCAGGCTCCTGGCCTTGATGGGTACTGGACCTCCAAAGCACTGCCCAGCAGGACGGAGGCTGTGGATGAGGTTCCCAGTGGTTCCCCAGTTGAGGGGCACTGAGGGTCTGGTTGCTGCTGGCCTTTCTCATCACGTCCCTTTAAAAAGTCGGCTCTTCAAAGTTTGTGGGCCACCAAGGCGCAGTGGTGGCAGGACTGACTGTTCAGCCCCTTCTACATGTGGTCTTAGCTATCCCTCTTCCAGAAGCTCTGTCCTCTCCATTCATATTCCCTCTGCAAATGCCAGGCTCCAGAGTCCCACCACAAGGCTTGGAGGAGCGGGTAGGAGAAGGTGCGTCCGGTTCCTGCTGGCTCATTTCCATAATAATTACAGTTATTACTAATAACAATGACAACACGGTTCCCCATTTACATGGAAGCCTGTAGCTCAGAACCCCCTTCCCATCCATTGTCTCTTTCTAGCCTCACAGTGGGCAGGGAAAAGTGGAGACAGTTATCATCTTTCTCACTGTGGAGGCAGGAAACTGGAGCTTGGGGACACAAAAGGAGTCCCGAACAACTCCCTCCTTGGGTCTCCAAGGAACAACTGTGAGGATAAAAATGAAAACAGTGGCATCGAGGACGGATGCTCTGCCAGCTACACCAGGCACACCTGCTAACCGAGTCCTCACAGTACCCTTGGGAGGCAAGTTCTGTGCGTGTCATCCCCCTTTACAGGTAAGGGGACAGACACATTCAGACCGTCCAGGGACACATAACTACCACGTGGCAGCGTCAGTATGGGCTCTTCAGCGTCGCTCCCTCCCACCAGGCTTCCATACAGACCGTGTTTGCCAGGCCAGGGACCCTACAGGGCATTGGAGCCTGTGCCAGCCATGAGTGCACCTCTGTCCTGGCTCTGGGCCAGTGTGGTCTCTCTAGAGAGATCAAAGTCCAGGACCACTTAGGCACATCGCCTTTAAGACTCTCTTGCTTTGAATCCAGTCCACACCCGGGTATCTGAGGCCTGGATCCTATCTCTCTGCTGCCTCTGCCTCAGTCTCTCTAACTGCCTCAGTGGGCTGTTCTAAGGATGGGGGGGAGAGCAGGTCTAGAGCATCCAGGGCAGACCTGGTCCTCGCTTCCTTTAACTGCAGGCAGGCTCTCTTCCAGAGAGCTATTGCTTCTGTACTGCTAAGGACCCTGAGACGGAAGGTGGGGAATCTTTCATCTGTGCCCCGTGAGCCTGGCACACAGTACCTGGTTATATTCCCACACCTTCCTTAGTGGCCTTGGCAACTACTAACTACTCCTGTAGGCAAAAGGAAGACATGGAGCTGGTGTGTGTGTGTGTGTGTGTGTGTGTGTGTGTGTGTGTGTGTGTGTGTGTGTGTGTACTGAAGAACTTCCTAGGTTATACACATGCTAACCCTAAAAGCTAGTTTTCAAACCTCAGATCTGCTGGTCCTGAGCCTGGACTTCAAGAGGGAGGGTATGTTTGCTGTTCGTAAACACAGGTACTTGTGGCCCTGCACCACTGTCCCAGCACTCCTGGTGGGGGTGAGGGGGGGTTGCAGTGACCTGCACATTTCGCTGAGGAGGAAGGTGCTCAGAGGCTAGGTGACGTGCCTGTACCCACAGCTGAGGGCCCCAATTCCTCTCTTGGCCTATGAATTCCTCATCTTTTCCCTCATGTTCAGCAAACCCAGGCTCCTCCCATGGGCTTCTCCCCCTTCACTCTGCCTGCATGGCTCCTTACTCCCCAGGTCTCCCCTGTCCCAGGCACAGTGACAGGCTCTTTCTTGGTGCTGCCCAGTGTAGTCTTACTAACCCCTTCAGGCCAGTCCTAAGCCCACGCCTTGAGTCATCTGTGTCACCAATGGACCCACAGTGACCAGAAGACGTGACAGATCTGTTTTCATGTCCTTGAGCTGGATAGTATGTTTGTTGAGGTTCCTCAATCCCAGGGCTGGGACATCCTTCAAGGAGCAAAAGGCTGAGAAGATGCAGGAATTCTCTCCACAGCAACCTCACCAAAGATGCCTGGGGAAGGCCCATCATCAGAGGGCCCAACCTGTGTATGCAGTGGGGATGTTGGGAGGTGGACAGCCCAGGCTAGGCAAGACCTTGAGCGGTCCCCAAGAACACACCCTTCACCCCCATCGTCCCAGCCCTTAGATCTTCACCTGCTGGGGTGCCCAGATGTTCAAATGGCACTTCGCTAGAACGTCCCACCCTGTCCTTACCCCAGCCTCCAGGCCCGAGCCCCAGCTTACGTGGTCAATGAGCTCCTTGACCATGCCGTTCCACTGGCCCTTGTCGTCCTGGGCCCCGTACTTGCCATCTTCCACCAGCCGGATCTCATAGGAGAAGCCCAGGATGTGCGCCAGCTCCTTGAGCAAGTCGATGCAGTAGCCCTCAAAGCGGTCATTGCCGTAAAGGGTCCTATCGGACTTGCGGAACATGACAAAGGGCTCCTCCTGTGGGGACAGAAGGGAGAGAGGGTGCTAGGCAGAGTGGCTGGGGTGGGGGTAAGCTCTGTAGTTCAGGCTGACCTCGAGGACTCTAAGTAGTTAAGGGTGACCTAGAACCCCTAATCTTCCTGCCTCCACGTCCCAAATGCTGGAATTACAGGCATGTGCCCCACACCTGGTCTAGGCTCTTGTGTACACACACACACACACACACACACACGTTCAGTGGGTACGTGTGTGAATGGGTCCATGTGCATATGTGTGCAAGGACGTGTGGAGGACAGAGGCCAAACTTGGGTGTCATTGTTCAAGTATCATCAACTTTTTTTTTATTACTTCCACTTTAATAATAACAAAAAAAAACTAACAAGCATTAAATGTAGAAAATATTTTTAATGTTCTCCTAGCCAGACATGGTGGTTTGTGCCTTTAATTCTAGCACTCTGGAGGCAGAGGCAGGAGGATCTCTGTCAGTCTGAAGCCAGCTTAGTCTACATAGAGTTCCAGGTCAGGCAGGGTGATAATAGTGAGACCCTAACAAAAAAAGAAAAATCCCTGTAAAAAGAAAGTTACACATATTCATGTAATCGGAGTTAAACCCTTGACGTCCACTTTGCTTCAGTGGGATGGAGTGGCTATCACATACCATCATGCACCCTGTTTTTGTGATGCGGGGGTGGAGGGTGGAGGGTCTATCACTGGCCTGGAGCCTGCTGAGTAAGCTAGACTGGCTAGCCGCAGCACCCCAGGGCCCTCCCGCCTCTGCCTCCCCAGCACTGGGATTTCAAGCATAAGCCACGACACCTGGCTTTTTATGTGGTTCTAAGGCTCAAACTCCGGCCTCCTGCTTACACCACAAAGCACTTTACCAACAGCCATCCATCTCCTCAGGCCCTGGAGTCTTGTTTCTGAAAACATTTCAAATGGCTTGCTTGAATCAACATCCCGGAAGCAAGGAGAGGGCAAGTCCGTTTTCTGAAAACCAACTCTGGTGCCCTGCAATGGCACCTGCAGGGATGGTCCCAGCACGAGGGGACAGGGCTCTGCTGGTGCTGACTAACTTAAGTGCCAATGAAACCAGAGCTATCAAGTGGTGGGGCAGGAACTACCTGATTCAGTGTCCCAGGCCAGCATCAGCCTGACTTTAGAACCTGTTAGGAAATCACTCTTGGGCTTCACACTAGACCCACTGAGGCAGGAGCTGTGGCGAGCCTAGTGTCCACTCAAGTTGGAGGGCGGCACAGCCAAAGCCCTTCAGCAGATATGGCGCCTTCCCGACTTGTTGCGGATCAGACACTGCTCCTGACACTGCTCTGTCCTCAAGGTCCCATCAGTGCCCCAAGTCAGGACCTGGCCGTGAACCAACACTGACTCCAGCAGTAGCTCCCTCTGAATGTGGCAGGGCCTCTCCCAGGGGTCAGCTGGTCCTCAAGAAGGCAGTTTGTGGGTCCAGAGATGCCTGTCCTGTGTCAGGTGCTGGGAGGCCTCTGCGAGGCGTAGAGTAAGGCTTAGCACTGTCTGACTCCTGAGGAACACAGTCCTGGCTGCACCACAAACAAAAAACTAGGGGAAGAGGCGGGAAGCCCAGGGGGAGGACCGAACCGACAGAATCCAGTTGGAGATGCTCAGATGTGGCAAGATCCAGATGCCCCAGAACCCAGGAAAAAATGCAAGTCCAGGATTCTGTGGGCCTCAAGCACCCACCCCACCTGTAGCTCCCTACGGTGAAGTCTGGGGATGGCTGATCTGAATCCCCCACCACCGCCTCCCCCGCCACCTGCAAACTCCACATCTGTTGAATTACTACTGTGTACCATGCACCATTTTCAACTTTCGTAATTTCGTTTTGTTTAAGTCTTATTAGCATGCAAAATAGATGTTCTTATCCCCATTTGATACGGGAAGAGAAAGACTCAGAGAGGGTCACCATATTACCCAAAGCCACACAGCAGTTGACAATAAATAGTTCAGTTTCCGACCTACCCAACCAATCAGCACTCCTCCGAGCTCCTTTCCTTTCTGCCCCCTAGGCTCAGACTCTCCTGAGCTTTTGCAGGTCCTGAACTCAGGCTGAGAGCTGCCATCCATTTGCCTACTTTGATCTCTTGGACCTCAGTCCTGACCCATCCTCTGCCCTGGCCTGTGAGCCACCTTCCCCCACACCCACTGTGGCACCCTGCTCTTGTCTAAACTCCCCTACCCCTAGCCAAGAGCCATTCACTGATGGAACACACACCCACAATAACACAGTACATACTTAGAGAGGTGTCTCATTGTTCTCCCCACTGACCGGGCACTTTTCTTGCCCCCATGAGCCCCTGGGATAGGGTGGGAAGTGGAAGGCTCTGGTGACTGTGGTTGGATGTCCATCATTGCCTTAATCCAGGCTCCTGCTGTGGCAGGTGGGCTGTCCTTCTGCCCTGGTCTTTGCCATTGTACCACCCTACCTTATGACCCGTCTACTCAAGCTTTCAGGAGTCCTACAGGGGCTTCTGAGAAAGAGCCAGAGAGAGAGTCTGCATCTTGAAGGGGCTTCTGACCATCCAGGGAGCCTGATTACAATGCTTTCTGGTCTAATTACACAGAAACATGGACCTTTGGGTTAGCCCTATCCTAGACCTCAGGGCCTCTGGTGCTACCCGCAGCTAGGAGCCAGACAAGCAGCTCCACACCGGGGAGGGAAGCCCATGTGGGCCTGGGTCAGGGGCTCAGGCTGAATGGAGGCAAGGGAACATTGACCCTTCCCCAGGTAATTGTGCCCCCCACACCCTGGGCACGGGGCTTGGGTGGGCTGTCAGTCCACCTACTCCTTCGATGGGTGCTCTTGTGCAGTGGACAAGCTGCACCACAGGACCTGCCGGCCCTGACCTTATTTAAATTAGGCAAAGAATTAGAGAGAAGGTATCATCTTTCCCAGGGAAATTGCCCGGATGGGGAGAGATGCCCGCCCCTCTTATGTAGAATGGAGATTTTGACAGAACCTATCCTAACAGGAATAAGGATAAGATGAACCCACCTGGGAGAAGCCCTTAGTGCCTGGCACATGCCAGCTGCCAATATTATTATTATTGTTCTTATTATTACTATTCACACTCGTGCCTTCTTCCTGTGTAGTGACTGGCCTGTCACTTCAGTGACCAGTCCCTCTCAGAGACCACACCCTGTGTCATCAAACAGTAACAATCATGGCTACCAGGGGGAGTGGAGGGAATCATTTGGGAAAAGCCCCTAAGACTGCTCCCTTCCTGACCTGCCCCCTCCACGCCTCTCCTTGGCCTTAGCCTCTAAAATTAGCACTTCATTTGTGAAGCCGCCACAGCCCCAGAATCTACACATCTCCATCTAAATACGCTGCCTTCGGAGCAGCTGCAAAATGCCATTAATTTCGGGAAGTGCTTTGCGGATGGCATACATATTTAACAGCTGAAGCCCAGGGCATTAAAATGGTGCTCGCCTTAGTAATGCGTCTCCAGCCCAGCAACATTTCCTAGGGGGTAATTCTCAACTCCGAGACTACTTATTCATGGACTATTTCACAATTTATTACTGGAAATGTCCAGACAGCCAGTTCACCGGCTCCTCAGCTGCTAATCGATTGCTCAGTGAAGGTGCCCTCAATTTCATAACTTCACGCTCTCCTATTGCTCCGGGAGAAGAGCCGTGGGACCAGGGGTAATATTTCTCCTCAGCAAGTCACCGAAAACAGGGGTCCAGAAAAATAACCTTTCCCCACTTTCTGTCACAAGGCTCTCCATCTGGGCTCGCTACAATCACTTAGCAATAGAGAAGCCAGGCCTGGAGCTAAGCTTCTCCTAGTTACAGGGCCAGAAGGTTGCAAGAGGAGGCAGAGAGGGGGCAACCCCCAGAGGAGAAGGGTTCAGGGATTAGCCACCCAATAGCTGGGCCCGAGTGCCCCGACTTAGGCCAGGTCTCCCCACGGTCATGCACACGTGCACATGTGTGCACACTGGCAATATGGCCCATGTGCTTCTTCTGTGTGCTGCCTATCTGACCCTGCTTAGACACAGACCAAGAACCTAGACCTGATGGCTTGGCTGCTGCAGCAGAGAAAAGACAGGGCATTCAGAGTCACGTTTCTCTAGTGGGAGGATCCAGACCGGCCCCTGGCCTGGCTTGGTCTTCCTGGTCCTCATTCTGGCTTTGGCTTTCTCCTTCTCCGGGCCCTGGGTGCTGGGGCCCAGCTTGCCTGGCAGTTGAGTCTATGTGGGTCACAATGTGTACACTGCACTGGTGTGTACCCAGAGGCCATTCGTGGCCCATCCCAAGAATTCACACCCACCCACATGCACCCCGATTACCACTCACATCTACAGCCGAAAGTACCTTGAACCTTCAAAAGCAGGGCCCCAGGAGCACGTTGCGTGAGCTTTCTCGGTGTGAGCTGAGGTTTGGGTGCATGCATTTTTCATGAGACTGTGAAGCGCAGAGGCAGAAGAGAGGCTGGGCCTGCAGGGAGGGTGGTGGGGTAGCCTTCCAGCTTTGGAATGGGGATCTGCCCCGTGCTCTGAGTGGCCAGAGGGCACAGTCAGGAACCTGTCTGTCTGTCTGTTCAGGGCAAGGCACCCTGAGTACCTAACCCCGGAGGTTAAGAACAGTGAGAGCAGGAGATGGGGTTGGTGAGCCCACACAGGCTGCTGTGGCCTGCCACATCCCAGGAAGACAGGTGCCCTTCTCATCAGGGTTCTCACCTCCAGGTCCCGGTCCCCTGGGGGCAGAACAGTTTGATGTTCTGATCCTGTGCCGTGGTACCTGCCTGTCACTCAAAGTGTGGTTGCCTTGACAACACCAAGGCAAGACAGGCAGGGGCCTGTGCTCTCAGCAGGAGGTGCTGGCCCCGCATATAGGCAAGCCAAGCAAGGGGCTAAGTTTTCAACCAGGACAGTTCAGCCAGCGCCAGGCTGAGTCACTCCCTAGGATGTGTGTGGCTGTCCCAGGGAGAGGTAATTAGCCTGATCCTAGGGCCAGGAGCTCAGACTGTGGCCAAGGGAGGGGAGGACACAGAGGCTGAGCTGGGGCATTGTGTCTGAGAGGCTAGAGCTCTGAGAAGGTCCTGGGTGGAAGTGGTAAGTCTTAAAACTATACAGCAGAGTGTAAACCTGGAGCAATGGGGGTGGGGTGGGGGATGGCGGGTAGGCCCAGGAGTGTAGACGAATTTCTAAACAGTCTTATTAATAGAAAGCACGGAGTCAGATATAGGAGTGAAAACCTGAGAGATCAGGGAAATAGGGAAACCTATTTCCTAACCTCCTCAGCTTCCAAAGTTGGTGAGGTGTGGTTAGCTGTGGCTTTCACTGTTTCCCTGATCTCTCTCAGGTTTTCACCCCTATATCTGGCTTGGTGTTTTCTATTAATAAGACCGTTTAGAAATTCGTCTACACAGGAGAGCTCACTGGGCTTGAAAAATGTTCCAGTGCCAACTGAAAGTTCATAACACAATGTGCCCTGCTGCCAGGAATCGCCGCTCTGACTGTGCTGCCTTTGGTGAAGTTCAGGGCTCGGTCTGTGGCCATACATGGTTGGTGTGTTGTAGTCAACCTGAGTTCACCGGGTCTTGGATCAACAGCAATCATTACAATAACTGCACTCACCCCGCAATGAGTTTGTCAACATCCACCCTCTCCACTCCAGGAAGTAGGTGTGATCACTTCCATGTCTTCCTTATCAGCTAGGCCACAGGCACAGAGCAAGAAAGCTGAGTCCCAGGCCCACATACTATGTCAACAGAGAAGCCAGGACTCAACTCCAAAGTCTCTGCTCTTAGCTATTGCTCATGCCCTGTTCCTACAGGTGCCCAAGAGCTGTTGGGCCATTTCTACCCAGCTGACTTGAGGCTGAGGGGCAGTGGGACAGATGGAACTGTGTCCAGGCTAGGAGCCAAGACTCAAGAGGGCTTATCTCCCCCCATGTCCTCCTGGGGTTCCTGGAAGCCAGCCAGTTCTGGAGATGGGACCTCTGGTGATGGAGTGAGCCCAGCAAGTTGAGGACCAATGCTACTATGGTGAAGATTGACAGGTCAAGAGCATAGGTTGTTTGCCCGACTCAGCTCTTTGTTTTTTTTTTTTTTTTTTGGTTTTTTTTTTTTTTTTTTTGGTTTTTCGAGACAGGGTTTCTCTGTGTAGCTTTGCGCCTTTCCTGGAACTCACTTGGTAGTCCAGGCTGGCCTCGAACTCACAGAGATTCGCCTGGCTCTGCCTCCCAAGTGCTGGGATTAAAGGCGTGCGCTACCACCGCCCGGCTCCGACTCAGCTCTTAAAAAAAAAAGAAAAGAAAAGAAAAGAAAAAGACCTTGTGCCTCTTCAGAATATGCTCTTTGTGTGTGGGGTGGGGTTGGGTGGGGTGGGGTGGACAGCTATCCTGGAACTCACTATGTAGCCAGGGTGGTGGCCTTGAACTCACAGAGATACACCTGCCTCTGCCTCCTGAGAGGCATTCACCACCAAGCCAGTTCCACACCCTTGAAACAGAGCGGCTGCCATTTCAGTGAAAAGTGACCCAGTGGCCTTCCAGGGCAGCTGGGTTTCGCATCCTGTTGGGGAGTCCTTAGCGCATGCTCCCTTTGGAGTCTTGTTTGGTGGCGGCCTCCCCTCAGCTCCTGTAATCATCTCTCCTCCTCATCTCTTAAATCATATTTCTCTCACCTCGTTTTAATCTTGCCTTGCAAAAAGTGTTTTATTTATATCTCACATTTCATGCAATTCTGCTTTTAATCTTTTACCACCTTTTTATTATTTTATTTTTACCCTTTTATATTTTAGCGTTGTCACACTTTCATCCCTTTGCTTTCTGACATTTTTTTTGCTTGAACATTTTTTACCTTGTCTAGCCAGCACTGTAAATTATTTAATTTTTCTTAATATCTTTCCTTTTTATCTCTCTCCTTACCTTCATTATTCCCCCCTCCACCTTTCTACTTAGCTCCCCTCTTTCTGCCCTTTATCTTTCCTATTTTTATCCACATCCACATTCCTTTAATTGCTCATCAGTCTCCCGTAAGTCCCTGGGTGCTTTTTGCTTATTTTTACCATTTATCTTTTACGTTAGTTTTTCTCCTGTTCCTGTTGATCTCTTTTTGACTTACGGCTTTAGTATTTGCCTCCTTAATAAAAAGTGGATCCCTAAAGACTAGAAGGTTATATGATTATTTGGAAGACCCCTGGGGTTCTCACTGCCCTGCCCCCTAAAGGCGGGATGACCCCTCCCTGGCTCTCTTCCTGTGTGGCTCTGTCAGCGGTCTGTCCACAACACTCATTCAATCTCTTTGGGCTTTAATGGGATTTCTCAGCGACCATGAACCTGGGGGCTGCAGATGAGACCAATTGTTTAAAATTCCCCTCAACATGTATAGTACTGCAGAGTCTTTGAGATTCCTGGAAGAATGGGGGGTATTTTATAATTGCTTCACTGTTTCATGGTGCCCACCACCCAGCCATTGAATCTATGCCTGGTGGGCACCATGACAGTAGAGGGGAGGCTGGTCTAGTTTGGCCTGGCTGAACTGCCTCAGGAGGGGACGGAGGGGAAGCCACCTCCATCCAAACACCATGGGAAGCTCCCATTGGTTGGTTCCAGGCCTCATCCATGGAAGGCTTCCTTAATCCTAATGCAGCAACATGGCTTTTGTGTAGAGGAACAAGCCCAGGTCTCCAGGTATGGGTCTTACAGATTTAGTTGCTATATTCTAAAAGGTTGACTTGGGCCAGAACTGTTCTCAAAGGGGTCAGCTTCTGCTTGGCTGTGGTGAGGCTCCTTTCTCCAAGGGTAGCCCTGGGGGAAGTAGGGAATTGTCCCTAAGAGCAGTGTTGTGACATGGTAGTCTCCCAGGAGGCGGGTGCACACCGAAGAATGGGTACAGCACCGGTCAGTAAGGGGAGGGCAGTGGCTGCAGGCTGCAAGGTGCAGGGAGCCTGGGAGAGTCCATGAGCCGCTCCCTGGTTGGAGTCGTCGGGAGAACAAGGGCAGGAGGAGAATGGACAGCGGCGTGGAGAACCCTGGCTAAACTGCCTCAGCTGGGGAGGCAGGCGGGAGCTGCCCACATCTAAGTACCCCGGAAAGATGAGACCCACTGACTCATCACAAAAAGAAGATGGGGTGTGGCTCTATCCAAGGGGAGGGGTTGCAGCTTCCGGCTCTCGGGATTTATAAGCCCTGTGCACTGTGGCATGTGTACCGTCTCCTGGGGCTCTCTGGTGTGGCCACAGCACCCGACTCAGCTGGAGGGGCTCACGCGAAGGGCCTTGGCCCAGGGACTTGAGGTGGGAGAGCAGTCCCCTAGCTGTGACGAGCAGTCACTCTTCTGTGGTCCTACTGAGAATGCAGGGACTCTGATGTGCAGGTAAGTGAGACAGCAAACACAGGTTTCTCTCGGGGGACGGGGAGAGGTCCCAGGTTCCAACCTCCCTCTAGGAGCTTTCTGAACCTTCCTGGAAATTTCTACTTTCTTGTGATCCACTTTGCTACTTTCTCCTGGGAGCCTCCTAAGGGGTACCCAAGATGTAACAGGTAGGGGATGGAGGGGTTTCTTAGGTCAGATGGCCAGGCCAGTCCATGTCTAGGTCAGACAGCCTTTCTAGCAGGGCCTGAGGCTCTTACCAGCACAGTGGTGACAATGAGCGACCTGTTGGTCAGAGAGTCGGTGACATTAGGACCTCGGCCTTTGGCAACCTCAGTGATGTTGAGACCGTCAGCTGGACTCCACACCCCAACCTGGATGGACAGACAAAAAAACAGGTACTGAGTCCTTCCTTTCTCCACACCAACAAGGCCATCTGCTTCCAATCATCACGGCCATCGCTGTTGTCACCGTAAGGATGTGTTTTGAGTGAACGATTCTGATGACAACCCGCTGCCCTCCCTCCTCCGAGGAGACTTCCAGGTGCGAATCTTTCCTTTTCCTCTTGCTGATAAAGGCTCAGCTGAAGGAGAAATGCAGAGGAGCTGCAGGGAGCTGGGAGACAGAGTGGATACCCAGCAGGGACAGAAGGGCCAAGGGGTCCCAGGCTAGGCCAGGGCCTCCTCCTGACAAGACACTGGGCACACAGCTGCTTACTCAATGGGTCCCTTCCAGGCCAGACACCTGCAAAGGCCCGCTCACCCTGGAATGCAGGCGATGCCCCCATTGGGAAGAGGGAGAAGTGCTCCACGTCTGTGGATTTAGGGAAGAGGGAGCTTTGGGTGAACAGGCAGCAGGCCAGCCTGGGAAGCTGTTTTGGGTGATAATGGAAGTCCTGTGAGCTGCACTAAGGTCGAAGGCAGTTGGCTTTGCGGTTTCCCCTCTAAAATGGGCGTATACGCCTGGCCTCCTCACAGCATCCTTGCCAATATCAAGTCAGAGGCTAAAGTCAAGGAAGGAGAGGTAAGGTTTAAAAGTCATCCCAGGGCAATGAGACGCCTCAGCAGGTAAAGGCCCATGCTGCCAAGTCTGATGACCTGAGTATGGTCCCTAGGACCTACGTGGTAGGAGGAGAGAAGTGACTCCTGAAAGTTGTCCTCTGGTCCTCACAGGTGTACAGTGGCGTGATTCCATACATGCACACACGATGAATAAATAAATGCAATCAATTTTTTATAAGTCATTCTAAAGCCCCGGGGCCTCTTGCAGGTGCATTCTGAGCAAACCGCCCAGCTGGGCCTCATCTTGGCTCTTCTCTCAGGGAAGGCATCAGCACGCCCACTCTGTCCTTGGCCCAGTTGGGGGTACTCAGAAAACCTAATCAATTAAACAGAGAGGCCAAGAGCAAACAGCCCACTCAGAGAGCTGTGCACAACTGATAGCAGGAAGATACGTAATTATGCTTGGGTAATTCTGCCTTAATCCTCCCAAAGCCACCGGCTGGAGCTAGCTGGATCAGCTCTGACCCAGCTTAGCAAACAGAACAAGGCAATGAGAGGCCGTGGCTGTGGTGGGGGGTTCAGCGCGCTCTCTGCCTGTGTGGACCACTGGGGCCACGAGGAGAGGAGATGGGCAAATGGGACTGGAGAGGCTCTTCTTTCAAGTGGGCCAAGCTCAGTGCAGGGATGCTGAGCAGAGGGCTGGGTGCTGAGCAAGAGGGCTAGGTGCAGGAGGCACTCAGCAAACATCTGTCCAGAGGTGTGTGAACAGCAGGGAGCTTCAGGCCGGCAAGCTCTTCTAAGCCCTGATAGATGCCGGGCATGATGGGAATGGAAGAACTGGAGTGAAGAGGCTGTCTGCTCACAGGCCCAGGTGGCCATGACCGGGAGCCTCTGGTGGGCACCCTGCAGGCCAACCTCCATCCAGGGATAATAGAGTTTTCCTTGAGTATTAGCTACGGTCAATTTGTACCAGCTGCCTGGAGGGCTGCTGGGAGATAGATGCTGCAGGGTGGGCTCAGATGAAAGAGTGCTCCAGTGATCAATTACTGATGCCTGCCACGGGCACAGGAGCGGAAAGCGAAGGCATGTGTGCCATATATCTACTATCCCTAGAATTTGACGTTGTCCCTAGAGATGAGTGGCTGAGAGGGCAAAACTAGCAGGACAGCCACCTGTGAGCACCATGACAGCTGTGCCACCACCCAGGACGGGGGCTGCTCTCCATCACTGGGGAACTTAAACAAAGACTGATGGAACTCGCGGAGTGTGTGCCTGGGGCTGAAAGAGTGGCCTCGGTGATTTTAGAAACGAGGTCTCAGCCCCTGTCCTTGGGAATTAATGCCACCCATGGCATGAAGTAGTTGTGGATGAATCATGAGGATTCCTGGCCACCCCTCTCTATACAGTGAATGGGAGGACACAGGAGAGAATCCGGGAGCCATGGCCATAGGTATATGGAGGCCAGTACTTGAGGCCAACAGAGCCTGGTCCTTGTCTGGGAGGACAGATGTCACTTTCACAGCAAGGGCACCAGGGTGGGATCACACTCAGAAGTGTTGGAGGGCCGGAACATGAGTCAACTGCGGGGCATTTCAGGGAGCAGAAGAGACTGGGCTGGGTGGGGAGGCCAGCTGAGGACACTCTCAGTCTCAAAGGCCCCAATGAAGGGCTGCAGCATACTGACTTGGAACTGGGGAGCCATGGGCAGGGCAGAGCTGGGCTTGGTGATGCTCCGTCGGTGTGTACACTCAGGATGGATGAGGGAGGCAGAAAGCAGGGAAGAGTGTTAGAAGAGGCCTCAGTAGGGGCTGAACCGTGCATACAGTGAGGGAGGATAGGAGTCTACCCTGAAGGACCCTCTAGTCTCCTGGTCACTGCTCTCCGTATCTTATACATGCTGTATCTCAGGGCTGGAGGGGAACTCAGATGGCTCCCAGGGACCAGATGCAGTGGGATGGGTGTGGCTGAGCTGCCGGCTCCTCCAGATGCTGAAAACTGGGGCCTCAGGTTAAAGCCCCTTCTTGGCATAGCAGCCTGACTTTAATAGCACACGCTGAAGGTTCCTGGAGACCAGAGAAGGCCTCATTAGAACATTTCCATGTTGGCCAGATGAGAGGCCCTAAGTCTAGAAAGGACTGCTTTCTTGGACCAAATGTTGGAATCAGTGGTCTGAGAAGCTGGAATTGTCGGGGAGCCCAGAGTCCCAAAATTTAAAAATCTCTTTGGGGTAAGGATTTTTTTTAGTGTCCCAGACAAGCAATCTCTCCATACTTGCTTGAATGTCTCCAGGGACCATGAGTTTACTACCCCAAGTCAGGCAATCTGTGGAGGCTAGAAAGTTTAACTTAAGAACACATATGTCCTTATCCCTGAGCCAGCCCTGCAGGATCTTAGAGACAGTCGGTTTGTGCCACATGCCTTGACTGTGTTTCCCTGACTGGCCTAGCTCACAAGTGATGGCGTAGGCGTCTGCTCTAGCTAGACCACTCAACCTGGCACCTTCAGGTGTAACAGGACCCTAGGGTCTCCTAGAGCCCACAGCTCTGCAGAGGGCATGCTGGGTCGGTTCCGTCTCCAGGGGATGCCTGCAGTGGACCTTCCCTTCTGCCCGGAGCTTGTGGAAGGCACTTCCAATATCCCTGGTCCTCTGCGGAGCCTTCTCCGGAGCCTACGCACCTTCTCCAGGCCATCTTCCTTCAGGCTGATGATGTCCAGATCAAAATCAGTCCGCAAACCACTGGTTTTGTTGAAAACAATCCGTCCAGTTAATCCTTCCCATTGAGCCTGCGGAGTGGAGAGGGCAGAGCGGCAATTCCTCGGGCTCATAAATCATCATTCGGTACAACTGTACAATGCTTCATTTTAATTACTCCTTGCACTGATACTGTTCCCCCAAGACCATGATTAATTAATAATCACCTCCATCATTGCTCGGGCTGTGGTGCGAGCCAGCGATTTCCATAAATTCTATTACGCTCTTTAGCCAGCTCTACATCTGCACCTTCTCGTGTACAACATCGATCTTGGATGCGCTCAAACGAGCCCCCGCCTCGAAGCCCTGGGAAGGGGGAGCCCGTGTCAGATCCCTGGAGAGGGCCAGGGAGGCAGGTGAGCAGAGCTGGAGCACATGAGACCCACAAAGAGATAGAAATGCCTACAGGCCCAGTAGGCTCTGTTTACAGAGCCATATCCTTGGAGCATTACCCCCACAGAGGGAGAGAGAGGCACAAAGTCCCTCAACCTGCTGCTGCAGCTCCACGCCACAGCTGAGAACTCTGGGGTCCAAACGCTGGGTTCAACTCCACTAGCTCTGTGACCTAGAGTACTCTCTGCCTCAGTTTCCTTGGCTATAAAATGGAACTAGTCAAGGTATTCATATTTCCAAAATGTGAGAGTGAAATAAGCCAGGGAAAACAAAGAGAAGAGCCTGGGCTAATGCAGGCCCTGGGTAAATGGCAACTTCTGTCATTCTGTTGTCATTAACACAGACAGAGGCAGGTATGACTTAATGCAGACTATTTTTTTTTTCGAGACAGTGTTTCTCTGTGTAATTTTGGTGCCTGTCCTGGATCTCATGCTGTAGCCCAGGCTGGCCTCGAACTCACAGAGATCTGCCTGCCTCTGCCTCCCGAGTGCTAGATGGTGCACCACCACCACCACCCGGCTACAGACTGTTTTCTAGGCCAGGGTGGGCCAGTCTGGCCACGGCCTGTGCTTGGATGAGTCCACAGCCATTCCTACCCATCTATTGTGGAGTCCTGCTACCTTCCGATTTGCCAGTGTTAGATATTATAGACTGTCTCTTTTCTGGGGGTCCAGAGCAGTCATTCTTTGTGCACACCAGGGTGTGTGGTCTACCTTTCCTGTGGGTTTGTACATGTGTGCCTGGAGAAATGTGTGCATGTGTATGCAGATGTGTGAGGTCAATGTTGGATGTTCCCCTCAGTCACTCTCCATCTTATTTAAAATAAAAGTAGCGATAATAATATAAACATGTGTATTGCATATACATGTGCGGGTGCCCATGGCCATGCGGAAACGAGAGTTCTCTTCCTCTATTGCTCTCCACCATATTCTCTTCAGACAGGGTTTCTCACTGAACCTGAAGCTTGCCCTCTTGTCTAGGGTAGCTGATGAACAAGCTCCTGGGAACTACCTGTCTGCTCCTCAACGCCTGAGCTACAGACAAGTGCAGCCACACCTAGCGTTTATGTGAGTGCTGGATTTGAACTCAGGTCCTTAGCATTGCACAGAAAGAGCTCTTACCTGCCACCTCTCCAGCCCTTCCATCTTATATTTTCAAGAGAGTATCTTGCACTGAATCTGAAGCTCACTGATTGAGCTAGGATGGCAGGCCGGGGAGTTCTACGGACCCATCTGCCTGCCTTCCCAGCACTGGCGTTACAGAGCTACACTGCTCCCAGCTTTATATGTGGGTGCTGGGGACTCGAACTTCGATTCTCATGCTGGAGTAGCGGGCCCATCACTAGTGGAGTCATGGCGCTAGCCAGAGAGGTGGTTCCATAAGACACGACCCCACAGGTGATGTCACTCAACTTCCCCAGCAGCCTTGAGGGCTGGCCCAGTGAGGATCATGATTCCATGTTACAGATGGGGAAACAGGCCTGGAGGGAGAGGGTCTTGGGAGCCCCAAAGCTTCCCCTACACAATAGGCAGAGCCAAGCTAGACCCCTGGTCCCAGGGCCTCACCACTCGGTTTGGGCCCTTTCCCTCTTCTTTCTCCTTGGGGCTGATGCTGGTGGGTATTTTGCAGTTAGATTTCTGCATCTGGGAGAAGATGACCCATCGTCCATCCTGGGGTCCTGGGAAATAGGAGGGAAACAGCCATTGGGGGGGTCCCCAGCCAGGTTGGTGAGTGGAGGGGGATGAATGAGGTATCCAGAGGAGAGGTGTGGACAGCAGGGGGGCTAATTCTGGTTTGGGCTTAACAGGTCCCTCCTCACCCTATATTGTGAGCAAGGCTCCTGGCCTCTCCCTGGGATGAGCATCAGCACCCATCACATGGTCACTACTTCTCAAATTCCTGGTCCCCAGAAGCTTGTCTTTGGATCCCATCTAAAGACCTGGAGGGTCTCCCTGCTCCTGGGCAGCTCACAGATGATGGTAGCTGATAGCTGGGTGAGAGGCAGGAGGATTGTAATTCTAGGCAGTCTGGGCTGCTTACCGAGGTTCTGTCTCAAGCCCTCCTTTGCTCCGCCCCCGCCCCCCCCCAAAAAAGTAGATAGACAAAAGGTGTCCTCACTCAGAGGCAACATCCTGGAGCCCTGGAGGGCCAGAGAACAAAAGAGACTCAGTCTATCTAACAACCCACTGGTGTGCAGGCCCTTAGTGAGGCGGGTAAAGTGCCCAGTACCATGCCTGTGTGTATGATCACGATGAGTGCTATGGATTATCATGTTTCCTTTGTAGGTTCTGGAGCCCCAGGGGCTCCTGGAAATGGAGGTGGTCCTCAATGGAGGAAGAGAAGGACTTTGGACAAGGCCAGGCTCAAGGAGGAAACTTACAGCAGAGAGTTACAATTCCACCCTTTGGGAGCCCACTGAACTTCCATTGTGACCCTGCGAAGTGGGACTCATCATTGCCTCCATTTCCCAGATGTGAATACTGAGGTTCAAAGATGGACTGAGGTACTGAGGAGATAGTTGAGTTAGTTAAAATGCCTGTCACGGAGGCGTGAGGTCCTGAGTTGGATCCCTGGTGCTCACATAAAAATGTCAGGTGTGGCTGCAGGCATCAGGGTGTGGGTGGGGTGGGGGTGAGTGGATCCTCTCCCTCTAGCACACCTAATTGGTGAATGCCAGGTTCAGTGAGAGAGCCAGGCTCCAAAAAACCGAGGCAGAGAGATATAATGGAAGATGTCTCTGGTCTCCACATGAATGTACACCTGCAGACACACACACACACATACACACACACACACACACACACACACACACACACACACACACACACACACACACACACACGGAGCCAAGGGGACAGAGATTAAAAGCCACATCAGAGAAGGTGAAACGGCCCTGTTTATGACTTCACAGGGAGGCCCGCTTCCCTCAGGCTGGCTCCCCCACCCCTCTGGCTTCCATCTCTCTGCTGCAGCCCACACCCTCCGGCTATCTGTGGGGCCCCCAGGGAAATCTCAGCAGGTGTCTTCTGCTGCCTTGCTCCTACAGAGGAGGCTTTCCTCCCTGTCAGTGCCAGAGGAATTAAATGCCAGCAGGTGCGGCCTGTATGTGGGCGGGTGGGCAGGGGCAGGGCAGGGAGCCACGGGCAGCTCCTCCCCGTGACATTTCCCAGCCCACCCGCCCCCTCTAGCCGCAGCTCAGGACTCGCTAAATGAAAGATGCTTCACACGCTCTGAACTCCGGCCTGGTATTTTCCAGCTCCTCTCGGAAATGCCAAGTCTTTAAAATGATTTACTGTCACGCAGTCAGACGGAGATGGGCAACTTGGAAACGGACAAAGGGACTCTGCAGGGTACCTGGGTTCTCCAAGTGGCCAGTTATGGACCATGAGCATTTTGTAGCTACTCCTGCCTGGCCCCCATGGCCCTAAGAACAGAAGGAGTTCTGCAAGGGATGGGGAGTGTCCGTTCCAGTATGGGTAGGAGAGTTCCAGGAGTGGGAATGGGCTGGGCAGTGGGGAATCTACTCCCCTCGGGCATTCATGGCTGGGCCTCATGCTTTCCAAGGGGCAAGGGGTGAAGATGTAGGGTCCTTGAAGCAGGGTGGGCTGCAGGCCCTATGGCTGGAACCCACTACCCAAAAGGAAGTTAGAGTAACTCCAGATGATGGTGACTAAAAAATCAGGGTTGTCACACCTGCTGTGCCGGGGGGGTGGGGGTGGGACAGCTCTGAGACCAACCCTCAGCCAATGGCTGTCATAGATGAAAGAACTCCAAGACCGCTTGCTTCTATTCTAGTCTCTGAAAACACACACACACACACGCACGCACGCACGCACACAGAACAGAGAGAGAGTCTGGACCTTCTTAGAGGGCTTCACCTGAGCCCCTTGGTGTTGGTCATGGTCTACTTTCCACTCACTTTAGCCCAGGACAGCCCTGCCTAGACCTCGTCCTTTATAGCCTTTTCTTCTTGCTAGTAACTGAGAGTAGATGCTGGTCTGACCCCGGGTTTTACTCTGTCTTCCACAATTCTGAACTGAGGATCAGAGAGGCGGTCATCTCACCAAGCCACTTAGCCAGGGGCAACGCACTGGCAAGTGAGGCCCCGACTGAGTGAGTGTGTCTGTAGATAGGAGCCATAAACCCTGCATCCAGAGTGACAGCAGCGAGGACAGTGACACAGAGAGAATCCTTTGACCACCCGGGCTTCTCAATCCCCTTTGAGACTGGGGAAACTGAAGCTCAGAGAGGTGACCTGCCCAAGTGTGTACGTAACAGTAACCACTTTTCTGGCTCCCACACCTGAGCACTCCAACTCTCTGCTGCAGGGGGCATCCTCGGAGGGGCCTGGACTCACCTCCTTGATGAAGTTCATGAAGCGGCCACCAAAGCGCCAGGCCTTGTGCCGATGGCATTGCAAGGAGTTCACGGTCATCTGCGGTGCTCGCTGGTAGCACACAGACACGATGTGGACGGCATCGTAGAGCAGGGCTGCGTCAGTCTGCAGAGGGCACAGGCCTGCCTGAGGGCTGTGGCATCCCCAGCTCCTGCCCCACCCCCACTACAAGCTCATGGTGTCCTGAGGGGGGAACAGGCCCTTAGTCCCAGAGGGAGCCCTGTCCTTTTACCTGAAGAGAGGCCAGCCTCGGTGTGGCCCTATGAGTCTACGGATACCTCAGTGCTACCATCTTTTCTGTAGCTCAGGGTCTCTCTCTTTCCAGACCTCCCGCCCAACCCATTGCCTAATCTCACCCACTTTTTACTCCTTTCTTGCCTCCTTAGCCTCATACCTGCCAGTCACAGCTTAAGTCCCCATGGTCTTTAGTTTTTTTGTTTTTGTTTTTGTTTTTTAATGTAATCCATTTTTAACCATCCTATGGCTCCATCAGAGGCGGCCCTTAGGGTGGGACTGTTGTCCCTAGGGCTCTGGCTGATATATGACAGATTTTACAAAATGAAGTGTTGTATGAGGAGATGGACAAGAAAGAAGGAAGGAAGGAGGGAGGGAGGGGAGCCCCTGAGGACTATCTATCCATCTGCCCACTGTACCATCATCACTCCATCCAACAGGCCAGACTCCGCCCGGGGAGCTGCCTGGAGCCGCTCCATGGACCACTTCTCCACAATGGCTGAGACATGGGGGTTGTCCACGTTGAGTATGCGGAACCCAGTCAGGTTCACCCCTGAGTAGCGGTAGGGTTCCAGGTCTAGTGCGTAGAGATCCTGAAGAAAGAGAGCTTGATGTGGTTAAGGGCTGGTCCAGTTTGCCTCCCTCACCCTCCAGACCTGGGCACCCCTGGGCCTGAGCTGTGGCTCCCTGCAGAGTCCTGGGCACGAAAGGTGCCTGGAGTGCCCACAGGAGGACGGAATGCAGAGTCCATCACTTGGATCTCCTGATACTGACCTCACATGCTGACCATGGGGGCCATCATCCTGTTTCTTCATCTGTAAAATGGGGATTTCTCCCCTTTACAGAACCCAGAAGACCCCTCTCACTTTGGGAGGACAAAGGGTACTGGGCCTGGGCATCTCCAAGTGATATTGAAGGAGGCAGAAAAGCCAGAGTACCTTTTTCCCCCTTCACAGAGAGGGCCAAATGAGGACCAAAGAAATCCCCTTACTCTTCTGGAAGTCACAGGCAGGGCCTTTTTGCCCTGCCTCCTAGGAACATCTGTCTAGAGGACTCTCCATGGTCAGGTCCCACGCAGCCTGGTAGATGGGCAAGCCTTGGCTGACAGCCCAGGAGAACAGGGTCTTAAAGGCCAACCAGCCCTGGCCTCTCCTGCAGCCCCAGATCAGGTCAATGGGCTGCTGAGGCGAGGAGTCAAGAGGAGAAGCAGTGGACATGGCCAGCTGTCCCTCAGCAGAGAAGACAGCGTGTCAAGAGGAGAAGCAGTGGACATGGCCAGCTGTCCCTCAGCAGAGAAGACAGCGTGTGGAGGGGCCGTTAGCCTTCACAGGAGCCAAGCAGAGCACCACAGGCTCAAAATGCCTCCAAACTCAAGGAGCCACAAGAGAAGCGTCATGTGCTTTCAAAACGCGGGATGGCTGCTTACAGATCTCTAGGGGCTTCCTAACTCCGCTGGGTTAGGAACTGCTGTTAACGCTGGGTAAAGCCCAAGCTTCTGCTTAACATGAGATTTGTGTCTGGCACAAAAGGTCATCCCTAAGGCGGCGGTTTTATTGCTTCGCAGGAGATTAATCTATTTTGTGTGTAACTGTTCTACTCTATGTCCCTTCCCCCCTCAAAACCCTGCTACTCACCCTCTTCCTCAAATGCTCTGCTTCACCAGCGGACTGTTCCCTCCAGACTTAGAAACGTGTCCAAATCTACACTTACTTCAGACTGATGTTTTGATTTTCAAAAATTAATATCTTGGGCAATGTAGACTGTTTGCCAGCTGGGACTGGGGAAATCAGGTCCCTTGTCCATACTTTCCCACTTCCCTTCACGGAGCTGCCTTCCATCTTGAACCTGAAGCCCACCCCCACCTCTACCCTTAGCCTAGTGCCAACCTCAGGTAATCAAAAGGGACACAGGCTGGAGCCCATAGAGCAGATCTCGCACAACGCTTGGGGGTCCTGTGGTCTCCGAGACGCTCCTTCTTGGTGCTAAACTCCTGGTCTGCATTCCAGGATGGACCCTTTCTTGAAGTGCTGTGGGATGGTCTGTATGTCAGATGTGTTGCTGATTGGTCAATAAATAAAACACTGATTGGCCATTGGCTAGGCAGGAAGTGTAGGCGGGACAAGGAGGAGAATAAAGCTGGGAAGTGGAAGGCTGAGTCAGAGAGACACTGCCAGCTGCCATGATGAAAAACAGCATGTGGAGATGCCGGTAAGCCATGAGCCACGTGGCAAGGTATAGATTAATGGAAATGGATTAATTTAAGCTATAAGAACAGTTAGCAAGAAGCCTGCCATGGCCATACAGTTTGTAACCAATATAAGTCTCTGTGTTTACTTGGTCGGGTCTGAGAGGCTGTGGGAGTGGCGGGTGAGAGAGATTTGTCCTGACTGTGGGCCAGGCAGGAAAACTCTAGCTACAACTGTGTGCATTCATGTCCCCTTTGCAGAGAAGAGGAGGGCTTGGAGCCCAGGCAAGAAAGTCTCATCTTAAACCACTCAAACAAATACAACCAGCCTTCCAAGTCTGTGCATGTATGAACTCAATCAACCGTGTATGTATGCATGTGTGTGTGTATATATAATTTAATTGCCCATCTATATTGAACATGCAGACTTTCTTTCTCTCCCCAATTCCCTAACAATGTCATGAATTACACAGCATTTTCATTGTATTGAGCACTGTAAGTTATCTAGAGTTGACTTAAGGGAGATAAGAGCATGTATTAATAATATGTAAATACGATGCAATTGTATACAAGAGACTTGAGCATTGTGCTGGCTAGTTTTATGTCAACTTGACACAAGCTAGAAACATCTGAGAAGCAAGAACCATAATTGAGAAAATGCTCCCATAAGATTGGCCTGTAAGCAACTCTATGGGATATTGTCGGGATTAATGATTGATGTGGGAGGGCCCAGCCCACAGTGGGTGGGGCCACCCTTTGGCAGGTGTTCCTGGGTTCTACAAGAAAGCAGGCTGAGCAAGTCACAAGAGAACTAGCCAGTAAGCAGCACTCCTTTATCCCCTCTGCATCAGCCCCTGCCTCCAGGAGGTTCCTGCCCTGCTTGAGTTCTTGCCCTGACTTCTTTCCATGATGGACTGGAGGTGGAAGTGGAAGTGAAAGCAAACCCTTTCCTCCCAAAGCTGCTTTGGTCAGGGTGTTTCATCACAGCAACAGATCCACAGTCAGGGGAACGGATGGAAAAGCAGTTGACACCACAAAGATGGGAGCGTTTTCCAACAACTGTTCACACCATGCTAGACCTGGAAGCAGAAAGGATGGCAGGAACCAAGGGCTGGGTATGACCTTGAAGTACCTATGTCTAGCAGCTGGCCCTACCTCCTAAAAAGGGTCCTACAGCCTCCAAAAAATACCGTCCCCAGCTATGGAACAAGTATCCAAAGCCGGAGCTGAGCTAGTCAGGGGACATTCTAGATTGAATTCATAACAGGTTCTAATGAGTGGTAAGGTTGGAGTCACTTCCCTTCATATCATTCTCTGGTCTGGCCTTTCCTACAGAGTTTCCTAGGGGCTAGTGACGCTGAGCACCCCCATCTCTGTGACATGAGGGCAGTGACAGTGAGGAGCTGGTGAAGAGGCTTCTTTGTCTAGCTCCTGCTACTGTTTTTTTGTTCAAACTGCCCTGGGCCAAGACCCTAAGTGCTCAACACGGTGAACTGTGGGCAACTTTGCAGCTTGGCAAAAAGTTGCATTTCCGATGCCAAATGTTGACACACTGAATTCAGTGTCGACTGGGGACCTTTTAGAAACATTCAGCATAACATAATAGACTAATTCATTAGCACCCCATGGGTCTGAATGGGAAGAAGCCGATGCTCGGAAAACATGGCCTCAAGGAACGACAGATGAAAATATCTTTCCCATGATGTAACTGTTATTGCCGGGAAGTGGCATTAATTGTGATTGCTTATCTATTAATTTATTATAATTCTTTTTTTTTTCACCTCCAGGCTCTTACCTACACATGACATGCACCAGGGGCTCAGCTGGGGCTGATTAGCACAGGGTTATCTGGGAATGGCTCAAAGCTGGCTGATACCGATAATGGCAGCTGGGGTAATTAAAATGTCTTCTGCATGGGAGAAGCGACTTTGGAGACATTTTTTGAGGGGAAGGGTTGATGATGTGCATTTCCTAAGATAAATGCCAAATACCATTCCCCTTCCCAATACAGCCACCACTGACCAATGGGCATGAAAAGGGGGAGTCACGAGGTAGAGCCCCGAGCCAACGGGGCTGGAAGAAGATCCTGAAGCTGGCAACAGGCTGTGACCAGCGAAGAGGACTGAGGGGAACACAGAGGATGCCGTGACATGCGGGGGCTACTGGGATTGCCAATACACACTCCACCATAAAGCTGTCTGCATTATGGAGGCCACATCTTCCTGGAAGAGCCTGGTCTCCTATGCCTCAGAAAGGGGGATTGAGGGAGAACAGTGCCCTGAAGCAGCCATGGGCAAGAGCCCCAGTGAGAGCCTAAGCCAGGATCATTGATCTGTTGTGAGACTCTGGGAGAGTCATGCGATCTCTCTTGGTGTGGAGTAGAAAGCACACTCTCCCGTTGTGGCCTCGAAGGGAAAATTAGAGGATGTAGGCAAAGGACATAAGTGTGGGCGTCACTGAGAATTCACGAAGGCTCTGTTTACCCCATTACTGTCAATCACCATGCTGGACCATTATGGCCAGGCATCATGAAGAGTCTACCTGCTGGAGGAGGCTGGGGGCCCTGTAGTGGCAGTTGGCGGCAGAGGGTTTGGCAGCTGGAAAGCTTGTGTGGGAAATCCCTGTTGTCTGTTTGTTGCTGAATCACCTCTCTGAGCCTCAGTTTCCATTTCTGGGGGGAAACGGGAGAGTCACAGCTCCCATGATGTTCATTTTGAGGGATGAGGACACACAGGACGCAAAAGCAGGAGGTGCTTAATGAGTTTATTTGACACTTACATGGTAGTAAGTTCCAATGTTGTTCTAAGCACCTTTCCACTGTCCATGCTTTTAACACTGACCCTCTCAAGCAACACTGCTATTGTCCCTGTTTTACAGACACAGACATGAGGCAAAGAGAAGGCAGCACCTTGCCTAAGGAGGTGAGTTATCTTTTTTTTGTGGTGGTGGTGGTGGTGTGTGTGAGTGGTGTGTACACACGTCTGTGCAGAGACCAGAGGAAGACGTTGGGTGATCCGCTCTATCACTCTCCACCTTACCCCCTTGAGACAGGACCTCTCACTGAACTTGGAGCCAGGCTGGAGGCTAGAAAGCCCCAGGGACCTTCTGTCCCCACACGCCACAGCCGCTGCTGAGGTTGTAAGTGTGTGCAGCCACACCCAGTTTTTTATGTGGGTCCTGGGGATTTGAACTCAGTTCCCATGCTTGAGCTATAAGTGCTCTTAACCCCTGAGCCGTCTCCCACCTCACCCCCACCTCCAAACAATGAAGTATCTTAATCCCAGTCAGACACACCGGAGCCCATGGTCTGAACTGCCTGCAAGAGATGATGAGTACTGATCGTGCTGATTACAATCTAATGTGCACGGTGGTCCTTCATCCACTCATCTCCCACTCAGGCGTCACAGAGCACCTGCTGCGGGCCAGGCCCTCCGTGGGCACTACAGACAGACAGCCTTGCTCACAGAAGGAAGTTTTGGAGCTTGTGTGTGAGTAGTTTTGTGTTGGGTCCACCTCTGTTCATCCTCCCGGCTCAGAGCTGGGGACCTCAGCTTACCAGTGGATGGGTAAGTGGGAAGAGGAATAGCCGCATCAAGGAAGCAAGGCCTAGGGTAAATGGGCGCTGCGTGAGGCTGGAGGGGTGCGTGAGGCTGGAGGGGAGGGCTGGGGTGCTGGGATGCTGTTTCTGAGACCTTTGATCTCGACCGCCACGGAAAATGGCGTCACTGCAGAAGACACCGGAGCCAAGGGGCTGTCATCTCTAGTCTTGGTCTGGAATGCTGCCAGGGATCGAGCACCTTGCCCTAAGCTCCTGGTGACCAGCTAGGACACAGAATGACAGATAAAGACTAGGGTGAGGTGAGCCCTTAGGGAGAAGGTGCCCGGTCTCAGTCCCCAGTTCTCAGGGACCCTGTTTCCCCACGGTATTTTCATCAGGTGCCCAGGTCTGATTTACAAGCAGCAGAATGGGCCCTGAGAGCTGCCTGGGCACAGGGTGCTGTGAACGGAGGCTGTGTGACAATCAGGGTGTGCTGGTGACTACTCTGTGCCGGAGAGAAACCCTTGCTGGCAGCAGTGGCCTACTGCTGTGGTAGAAGTGCTCACGTGGCTGAGTGCAAGCTGTGAATACGGCATGGAGCTGTGAGAACATGGCTGATTCTCCAACTCCAACGCATCACTAAAGGGCTGGCCTGCCTCCTTGCCTTTGCTCACACTGTTCCTTCTGTGCAGAATACCCTTCCTCTCTCCCCCACCTGTTAGTGAGCGCCTATTGGTCCTTCAAAGCCTAGCTCAAACACCCGCTTTTTCTAGAAAGCCTGCCTCAAACTTCCCACCTGCTACCAGCCCTATAACCCCTAGCATCTCCTTGTGCGGTGCCCTATGGCGGTCTGCCTGAGGTCAAAGGTCAGCTGGATCAGAGCCAGATATGTAGAGGGAGACGGACTGGAAGGCCTCAGTCCTACCATCTTGAAATTGCCAGCTTAGCCCAGATGCTGGGTGAAGCTTTGTGACTGGTGCTCTATAAATGAAGAAATCATCTAGAGGATTGTGGGGCTGCAGGGTGGGACTACAGGTCCCTGAAGCGGGGAGGGCAGGGAGGGAGGGAGGGTTCGGCTGGCTCCAGGGCCAGGCAGCTCAGCAGTGGTGCCTTCTTTGGCACAGGACGCCATGATTCTGCTGATCTCAGATCACAGCTAATTATTCTAATGGGTTTAAATGGCCCTAAATGTCCTCAGGGTTTGGACAGGACCCATCTGGAGCCAGCAGGTGGGCTGTCCCCAGTGACGACAAGGGGCTGACTTCAGAACGGATGGTGCAGGATCCAAGGTGGCCATTCCAGGTGTGCTGGGAGGCCTTTGACAGGTGTGGGTGGGAGGGCAGTCTACAGAGTACTAATAGCCACTCTCTCCGGCTCTAAACCAACCAAGCTCTGCTCTCACCCCCAGGCCTGACCAGATTACTAGGCCTCCCAAGGAGGTAGACGCCCATTTTGCAGAGGAAGAAACGGAGGCATGGGAGGTCTGGTGACTTACTCAGGGTTCCCATACTAGTCAGCAGAGAAGCTGTTCTTCTCCACTCTGGCTCCAGAGACCAGGCCCGGGACTTTTCAAAAGCGGGCAGTTCACAGCGATATCACTGTCGTCTCACCTGGAGCAACAGCCACAACCTTAAGAAGGCTTGGGTCTGCTCCAGCTCTAGCGCTGTCCCCAGCAGGCTGGCCCAGGCCCATCTCAAGTAACCTTCACGAACAGAGGTCCCACCCTTCCTCACAGGACCCGGCGGTACGTTACCAGAGTGGTAAAGATGAAGTGGTAGTACTCGGTCATCATGCCCATAGCCATGGCCTGTGGGGAAGCAGAGTGTTAGCTGGGGGCATGGGACACTCCGGCATCCATTCACCCTCCATTCATCCGGGGCAGGGGAGCTGGGGGACGGGACGCTGTGTGAAGCTGTCTGCTCAGACCTAGGGTGTCCACTGAGACCTTGGGATTAAGACACGGACTGGCTGGTAGACAACAGTGGGTTCCCACTCCAGTCTATAGCAAAAGCATCTGGGGGAGTCTCCAGTGTGGGGGTTTGGGGGTCACATTCTCTCAAAGTCCCCAGTTCTGTGGGGCAGCAGGGAGATGTCCAGCTGTCTGGATTTTCAGTCTGTGTCTCTGGGCCTGTCACTCAGACATGCTGACAGAAGATTGAGGCGCCTCAAGAGCCTGGCTCTACATGGTGGGGCTCTTGGGGGACCAGGCTCGAGGGGGACGTCCTTAGCATGAGTGTCTCCCAGGAGCGACGAAACCTCCATGCTTCCCTGATCCCAACAGGCCACACAACATACCACATGCCCCTCTGGGATTGTTCTTGCACAGCAGTACGAGGTCTCTCTGTGTGATGTATCTTGTGTGTTTTATTAAAGGTCTGTAATCTATAACACTAATGACTATTAATGCATTTTCTACAGAGTTCCTCAGAAAGCAGCGCCCACCAAGGGTTCTGGAGGAAAATGTCACAGGGTCAAATAGACCTTGAACTGCTGTGTGTCCTCTGTCACCCTCATCTATGCTGGGAGGGCTGGGAAGAGGCCAGCAGCCGGGGAAGGCCTCAACCCCCTTTAAACCACTTTGAGCTCAGCCCGGGGTCTTCATCTGTAACTCTCGATGTTTTGCAGACCTGGGACTAATCTGAACTCCTAGCTGGATGACCTCAGGCCTGCTGCTTTCTCTTTGACCTTGGTCTCTTCACCGGTCAGTTGGCTGTAGTAATTAACCTCTACTTCCCAGGTCAACGAGGAGGGACAGATACCTGCCGAGTAACTCTTTGGTAACCAGTGCTATGACTGCCATTCTGTCACACATGCAGGGAAGAGAGGGGAAGCCCCAGGACAGTGAAGGTTACAGGGCTTCTGCATAGATGTCCCCACAGGGACCCTAGGGCCTCTGCAGGCCCCACATCAGAACCCCCCTCTCTGCTGTCCCATCTCATTGACACCCCCAGAGCTGTTTGAGGAGGGATTATGGATGAACTCAGCCCACAGAGGAGGTGGTGGTGGTGGTGACTCCATGATGGAACATGGAAGGGGAGGGGCAAGACAATAATTTTTTTTCCCTCTTAGGCAGGGCCGCATGTACCCCAAGCTGGCCTTGATCTTGAAGGATGGCTGAAGATGACATTGAATTTCTGATGCTCTGCCTCTACCTCCTAACTGCTGAGACTACAGGCATGCACCACCACCCGTGGCTTATGTGGTACAGGGGATTGGATTTGGGGCCTTGTGCATTCTAAGTAGGTACTCTACCAATTGAGCGATATCCCCAGAACTCAGGTTTCTCTTTGTCTCGTAACACCAAACATCACTATATAGCCCAGGCTGGCCTTGAACCATGATCCTCTTGCCTCCACTTCCTTTGCAGGGTACAGATATGGAGGCTACCAGTCGGGATGGCTACTCCAAGTGAAGGGTGGTACTTGAGCCCCTCAGGACTTTGAAAATGTCCCAGTCCCTGCTTGGCAACCCTCTTCTTGAAAGACCTGCACCACCTTGTGTCTTTGATTCTTGTGGTTTCTCTTGCTCATGTGTCCAAGTCCCTCCAGTCACCTGGAATACTTTCAGGGATAACAAATGGCCTTTTACATAGAGCACAAGCTCGATCCAATGGCTGGGGTTTCACTATGGTGGCCTGGAGTAGGTTGTAGGTCCTTTTGTGCTTGCTTGCTTTCTTTCCTTCCTTCCTGAGACAATTTCTCTCTGTAGCCCAGGCTATCCTGGAACTCACGTTATAGACCAGGCTGGCCTCAAGACTCAGAGATTCCCTCTGCCTCTGCCTCCCAAATGCTGGGATTAAAGGCGTGTGCCACCATGCCTGGCTGCTGTTACTTTTTTAAGTGGCTGGCAGAGCTTGGCTTCCGTTGCCAGCATGAGTCCTGTTTGGGAACGGAGGACCATCCAGGCTGGAGAACCATGCTCTTCTTCTGCCATAATTGCAAAGCTCAGCAGATTGTCTAGAGAGCAATCTCCCAGTCATAGGCAGGTGCTGTGGGGAATTAGTCACTGGGAGAGGCAGCGAGGCATCTGGGGACTGTACAGAGACGCTGAGGCCCGCCTTGCATCCCCTACACTCCACCAGGGATGTTCTCATGCCTCTTGCCAGCCTGGTGGAGGTGGGCTAGGAGGCAGTGTTTACTGGGGCGCTCTGAATACTAGGACACGACATGGGGGAAGATCGTACATCTTCAACACAATGGGAGTAAAAGAACCATCATTATACTGCTGGTGCTACTGAGGCACAGAGTCATAGTGGCCCCCAAGGTCATACGGCCACCAGAGAGACAGCTGGGATGCTTACTGAGGTCAAGCTCTGTACCTGGAAAAGAGGAGGTAGAGCCATGGCGGGCCCCAACCCTAACCCCTCAGCTTGGACAGTGTTCACCCCACCTGCTTGAGGATCTGGGCTGCCATGGTGTGGCTGCAATCAAAGATGATGCGGAACTCCCGGCCCCGCTTCATCTCCTTGAGCAAGGGCCGTGAGTCATCCGAGTCGATGGGGAGCTGGCGGATCTTCAGGCGAATGTTGTACCTGGATGGGGCCATGATGAGCTCCTGCAGCCGGATGAGACCTGGGGGGGGGGGGGGCAGGACACAGAAGACACACATGTGCATGCACGCAGAAAACATCTCAGGCATCTACTCAGATACCTCCACGAAGCATTCCTTATTTTCTGTGTTCAGAAACGATTCCCTACCCTCAAACGTCCCCCAATATCCACGCCAGTTTCGAGGGCTCTTCCCTCAGCCCCCTATTGCCTCCTCATTCTGCCGTGACTGGCGCCCCATAGCACCTGCCCCAGGGCCTTGACACTTAGGGAGTACTCAAACAACATTTCTGTAATTGGATTGACTTACTGTTTGCTTCGCCCCGCACTGAAAAAATCTATCCTCCACCTTGGCATTTTGTAAAAACCACTTAATCTGGGGACTTCCAGGGAAAACGGAATGTCACTTCCTGGAGACAAATGGCTTGCTTAGGTCTAATTAAGTTCATTTCCTTCCCTATTTCGAGCTCTGTTCTTGCTGACTCCTCTGTGGATTCTGGGAGGGAGGCTGCTTGCTGCTCTCCATTGCCCCTACCCAGGCCCACCGAAGGACGGCTGAGCCAGCAGGTGTCCCCTCCCTCCCTGCATTGTGCCCTCAGCACAGGCTCAGCAGCTGTACATGGTTCACACACCCATGTTCCATCCCCCACTCACTTATCCCAACTTTCCTGGGGGGAGCACCTCTTGCCCACTCCGAGTTTATATACTCAAGAAGGATCCATCCCAGCTCAGGGAACAAAGTACATGGCCCTGACCTGACCAATCCGCATATTCCCTGGGAATAGGAACACAGGGATTCTGTGATTAGCTAGTGGCAGGTAAGAAACAGCCCGTTTTATGCAAGCAAGGAGGATGGAAGTCTGGGGTCAACACATACAACTGGAGGTAGGATCCATCAGGGCAGATGTCAGAGAAGATTGGGGGCGGGGTGAGGGAAGCATGTCCTAATGACACCATTTGAACCCCTGGGTCAAACAGTACTGTAAACTGATGCTGTCCTCCAATGTCTTAGTAAAGGCTACCAATAAGAACCACACGCACAAGAGTCTGGGCGGTGGTGGCACACGCCTTTAATCCTAGCACTCTGGAGGCAGAGGAAGGTGGATCTCTGTGAGTTCGAGGCCAGCCTGGTCTACGGAGAGAGTTTTAGCACAGCCAGAGCTGCACAGAGAAATCCTATTTTGAAAAAAACAAACAACAACAACAAAATATTGTTTCTAAAGAACCACCCACGCACACTCATACATGTGTTTCTTAAGCTAACGTGCACTGAATTAACTTCGTAGTCACCTATTACAATGCTTCCTATCTGGACACCATCTCCCTACTCTCTCGTTGAACTCTAGGACCCTTCCAATGGAACCCCAGTTTCCAAAGCAATCCCTCATACCCAGCGTAAGGCTATCTAGCTCTCCCATTCCTGGGGGTTGCTTCCACCAGCCTCTTGTGCCAGGGAGGCTGTAACCCAATCTCCCAAAGAGCTCCAAAACTTCCATGGGTTCTGGATGCACAGGTGGAAGAACTCTGCTTCAAACGGGCCTCGGAATCCTGCCACCAGAGGCGATGAGGGAGGGGAGGGGGGCAGCAGACTTCAGCAAGGGAGGGGCCACAAGCTATCCCCGTCATACCCAGAACCTCTACTTCTCCAGTAGTTCTGGGTTCTTCCTCGGCTACTGCTGGCCTTTCCCATCCGTTCCCTGGAGGCCCTCCATGCCCACTTCACTTCTGCCCACTCATTTTTCTGACTCTTGTTCAGCATTAGCCGGCCTGTGGGCTCTGGAGACCCAGATCGTGAGGACAGGGACAGACTGGATGCTGGAGTGGAGGCCACCAGGGCCGTCTTGTCAGCCAAGCACATCACCCTGTGTAATGCATAACGACCCACATTCTCCAGCAGCAAATGTCAGACTTCCTTCCCATCAGTGGAGTCCCCAAGGAGACTGAGGCTCCTTCTGGCCCACCTCCAGAGGACCAGGCTGTCTGTGTTTGCCTGCGACCGAGCTTTCCTCTGCCTGCCTCCTTAATCAATCCCTCCCAAGAATATCCGCACTGAATCACAGTTGTTGGAATGGCATTTTTCACTTATGAAGCACTTCTGTGCTCGTAGCCCCATTTAGCCATCTCCGGATCCTGGGAGGCACGCAGGACAGGAACCTTCATGCTGGGGGAGTAGATAAGGAATCGGAGGGCCAGAGAGGTTAAGGGACCGCCCTTAATTCCGAACCACGCCACACCTAGGATCAGGTTTTGAGAAGCAGTATTCTGCCTTCTAGGCAGAGACCTTTTCTCCACCCTAGGGCTTTCCCCCTCCCTAAACCTTTTCCTTTCAGCCCTGGCGGGAGTTTGTGCACAGATTGGATTAGGAAGGTGGAAACATGGCACAGCCCAAAGGTCACCTCCTCCGCAGCCGCTCTCCTTGAGGCTACCACTGTGAAAAGGATGAGCCGAACTCCTCACCCCTCCCTAGATCCATACCCCATTTGCATGGAGCTGGGCAGTGCCCACCCACCAGGCTCCACATTGTCATTTGGTTTGTTCAGTGGGACATTAACAAGCATGATGGAACTCCACACTGGCTGATTCTCTTGCTCCTTGGCCATGGTTAGGACAACAATGCCTGGGTTAGTCTGCTGGAGAACAGACACACGTGGAAGAGAGCCAAGGGCAGCCTAGAGCTACCAGCAGGCAGGCAAGTAAGCCAGCTGAAACCAAAGAAGCAGCTGGCCAGGCCCAGTAAGCCGCTGACCTGGTAGACTCAGGAGCTAAAGCAATGTTTATTGTTTTAGGCCACTGGATTTCGGGGGGTGGTTTGTTACACAGCTTATTATAGAAAGAGCTAACAGATGCATCCTTGGCTGGCATGCCAAAAGGAGGGTGGCAATGTGCCAGTCCTTGTGACGGTTAGGAGCCAGGCAGTGTCAATCTTACTCCCATTTGACAGTGCCGAGGAGTAGTAGGCATGGGTTCCATGAACTGTAGAAGACTGTCTTCTAGAAGGTTCACAGACAGACCTTTCTTGTTGATAAGGGGTGTGGGTCACATTAAGACAAATCCGTTTGTCTCCTTCCTGCTTGGGGAGTCAGCATCTGGTGTTGTCTGGAGCTGCAGCAACACTACTGTGCCCAGGAAGTGAAGGTCAAGAGGGTGTCACGATACCCACACGGCACTCTGACCTAGGCGAGCTGCTAAACGAGCCTGAGAAAGGCCCGGCCCATAACCTCTATCCACAAGAAAACTAAGTGGCGATTGCTTGAGTTGATTTGAATTGGGTTGGCCCATCAGCTAAAACGTGCAACTGGACGTAGCCCTGCCACACATAGCCAGAGCCTGCTAAAGACACTGTGTTTCCCACCTGGTGGTGGTCCAGCCTGGTGAAATGTCTCGGTCAGAGGAGTATGGCTTCTGCTTCCCACTACCTGTTTTCAATGCTATGTTACTGTTTAATGCAAGTCTGAATCCTAGAGCCCAATGTTTTCTTGACCCAACCCCATCTCTCATTGCCTCCACTATAAGTACCTTTTAAACTAAACTAAACTGAGACAAATTGAAAATCAAACTGAATTAAACGCTAATGAAATATTTCAAGAAAGAGTATATTAAGCACTGGGAAGGTGAAGAAATTAAGGCATGGTTATCCTATATTTTTTGAATGGTTAATCAGAGTATAGGACAGTCAGGGTGCTGGGAGTGTATCTCAGTGGTAAGATGCCGGCCCAATATGCACAAGGCCCTGAATTTGATTTCTAGCATCTTGTATAAAAAAAAGAGTCGAGGGAATGGTACTATCCGGAGGTCACTGGCAATTCCAGGCCATCAGAGCTGAGGACCAAGCAACATGGATTTGTGGGTAGACCTAGGGCTCAAAGACAGGAAGCTGCAGACTTCAGCATCAGCTCTGAGTGGTGCCACTAGCATGGTGCCTGTCATGCTGGCAGATGTCCTTGCAAAGCCTTGTGTCTCCCCCACCCCCTACCCCGCCTGGAGGCCCTACACCCCTGGGCAATGGTTCAAGCTAGAATCTGCTCTGCCCACTTACTTGTGACACTACAGTCATCCTGACTGTATCTGTTTCTTCTCTTCCATTCTGCTCCCAAGTTCTCTTCCAGGCAACTCCTTGAGGTGAAGTCTGGCTTCCTTTGTTCCTGTGGGGACCATTCAGTCCCCCCAGCTTTTTGCTCTCATTCCAACCCTTCTCACACTCGGCTCTCCCGGGTGTCTACTGAAACTCGGCTTTCATTATTCCAAGGTTACGCTTGACAGCACTCAGTGGTGCTCCGGTACACACAACGTAAAGTCTGAAGCCTGCGGCTGGATGTCAGCCCTGCACAGCCAGCCGAATCCCATCTGTCTCCCTTTCCCTGCTCACACTCCATACTCAATCCTCTCCCCAGCCAGGCTGGCATCTCCAGAACACTGCCCCACCCTGCCCCACCTCCTCTCCTCGGCTCACATTGTTCCTTTCATCTGCTATGCCCACAACAGGCCCAATTCTGTCCTTCTGTCCCTTTATCTTCAAGGCCCAGGGCAAAACTCTCTCCTCTTCCGGTAACCAGCACACACTGGCCAAAGCCACAGAGCTCTCTTGCACCCAGGTGCCTGGACCTCTGACTACTTGTCCTTGCCATTTGATTCTTAGCTCTGATGGCCAAGAATTACCACTGCCCTATAGTGAATCACCTGTCTCCTAGAATATGATGTAACTCCTCAAAAAAATAGGGTAGGGGTATCTTCATTTCTGCACCCTTTTCCTGCAAGACTTAGAGTTTAATTCAACATGATTTTCAACTCACCCCAAGTCAGTTCAACCAATGCTTTAAAAATGTCCACATTGTACCAAGCTTGTGCTGACTCCTAGAGGCACAGAGAACCTATGATCTGGAAGCAGAAATGGGCTCATAAACGTTTTGGTTTTTTTTCAGCAGTTCTCAACCTGTGGGCCACAACCCCTGCAGGGGTCCTCTATCAGATATTCTAAATACCAGATATTTAATTGCAATTCATAACAGTAGCAAAATTACAGTTATGAAGTAGCAACGAAAATAATTTTATGCTTGGAGGGGTCACCACAACATGAGGACCTGATTAAAGGGTCACAGCATTAGAAAGGTTGAGAACCACTGGTTGAGAAAGGTAAGACCACCAAGTTGCAGAGACACTAGAGAGGATTGGGCACCCTGGAGTGCCCCATGGTGACAGAGCCTCCTGCTGGGATCGCAGGGGAATGGGCTGCCATTTGAGGACTGCCAGTAACATGGAGCTCCGTAGCTGTTCGCAGCATCCTGACTCATCTTGTCTGTGGGCTTGCATCCTGCTATTCTCGACCCCCATTAGGAGGTAATCAAGAGCTGACACGGAGCCCAGGTAGCTGAGAGCTGGAGGGCTTTTCAAGGCTGCATGTGCTACCTCTCGAGACACGTAGGGAGAGCCAGGTCAGGCGGGTTAAGTGACTTGCCAAGGTCACTGTTGTTGAAGAGGCTGGGCTAAGAATTGTCTTGAGATTCAAGTCTTGGGAAAGAAAGAGGAACCAGCTTCGTGCTGGCTAACAGTAGGGGCCTTGGGCTCAGACAGGCCTGCCGGATGGTGTGGGTTGTGATACCATCTGCGGACAGTGGGCGGGGTCTGTTACCTTGCGGAATCTTCCTTCCCTCCTTTCTGATTTACCACCCCATAGAGTCACTGAGAGACTTGTGGAATTAAAAGAGACTGTCCTGGCACTGCTTGACTCCTGGTACACTGAGCAGTCTCTCCCATACACCCACCCGGAGGAGGAATGCCTGCTCTGTCTCCAGAGAGTGAACCTCCTGAGGGCAGCTGAGGCGAAGGCAGGGTCTGGCGGTCACTCCCCTCTCCTGACCACAAGGTCCAAAGGTAAGGCCCAGAACATTTGATGGAGCCTGTCTGTAGTGGCTATCTGCTCCAGGCCTACACCAAGGGGCCCAGGACTTGGGAAGTAAAGGGTAACACGCTATACTAAGAGGGTTCTGGAAGGTGAGTACCATGATAGATTAGCATGGCTAGGCAGGAATGGACTAAAGCAGGCCCTGTGCAGAAGAATGGATGCTGATATGATCCCAGTCGGGCAAGGCATTAGTAGAGGATGGGCACCTCTGCACCAGGGGGTCCAGCCCAGGCTTTTCCTTCTTCCTCGCTAGAGCATGTGACCCAAGCCCAGAGCTCATTTCTATGGCCCTGGCCCTGGCTGGGGCCGGCAATCATGTAAGTAGGAAGGAAGCTGGTATCTGAGCGCAGAGAGGCATGAACAGGGGTGCCTGAGGGGAGGCAACGCAATGGGGGAAGGGTGCTGTGTGCAGGTGTCCCGAGGATCTGGAACTAACCTCCCCTGCACTTCGAGCCAGGTTTCTGTATATACTCTTCCCTCTTTATTCCGGAGCCTCCCCATGAGGAAGGAGATGAAGGAACGGAGTAGCAGGCCAGCCCACAGGCGGGAGAGCAGGGATTTACACCCAGCACAAACACACTACACCAGGCCACACAATGAGTAAACTGTGAATGGGTGTGGAGAATACGGACATGCCTCCTGCACACGGGAGGGTACAGGTGTAGGAGTGCGGGCCACCGGCGGCAGGTGGCTATGGAAGTGCCAGCACAGGCCAATGCTTGGCAGGTGCCAATTGCAGATCTCAGTACTCCGCTGCAGAAGATGATGCAAGCATGCTGGGGAGGGGAGAGCCCCGTGTGAGCCAGGCTGGGGTTGAATAAGGTATGTGTGTGACTGGTGTGCACGGGTGCGAGAGACCCTGGGGGCAAGTGTCAGTGTAACTGGCTGCTTGCTGGTGTCTGGTGTCAGACGTGACCTTCTCCTCAGAGGCAGCTCTGCTAGGCAGGCAGACAACCCTAATCTTGGCGCGCTGCTCCCTCACCCCTTCCCCAGACTCGGCAGGTCTAGCCACCCACCTGTACTGTCATCATAGACCACGGTTGCTGACCGCCACTTGAGGGACTGGACCAAGTCGAGGATGGCATGGCTGAGAGAGGCGTAGTCGGGGTAGAGGTTCACATAGAAGGTGTCTTTGTTGTCCAGGGGGTGGTGCTTCCAGCGAAGTTGGATGTGGGGCACCTCCAAGGCGTTGCAGATGGACTGGACAGCATTGGTGCAGGAACCCTGTGATGGTCCGAAGATGGCTACCACACCCAGTGCCAACTGGTCACAGGCTGCAACAGAGTGGAGGGGAACACAGGGGTCAGTGGGGTGCTATGCACACCGGGAGTGGGCAGTGATGTTGACAATCCCATAAACACACAGGGAAAAGTCCAGAGGGAAGCTGGGGTGTGTGAGAACAACTCATGAAGTCTCAGTTTTCTCATCTGAGCAACAGGGCTGTCACAGTCTCTCCTTCATCTGACACCAGAGAGGTAAGAAGAAACAATTATAAGCCCAGCTGTGGAGGACACTGGCTCTATAAGCACGCTATACAACCGTGATGTTTTTGTAGGTGGCCTCCCAGCTTCCAGACAGTGTTGAGATGCTCATGTTGGTGTGGAGGGCACGGCTGGTGATAAAGATAAAGTCTGTGGCATCGCAGTCATGGAGAGGAAGCCAGCAGGGATGGCAAGAGACGTGAGTGGAGAGAGAAAAGGAGATAAAAACGGGGCTTCTGTGGACCATTGTGTCAGTGAGATGGTGCTGCTGATAAAGATGCCGTCAGGGAAATGATGGTGTTGACAGAAGGAGGGATGATGCTGCTGGTGTTGACAAGACTGGTGGTGATGACCATGTTGTCATAGCAACAATGGAGATGATGGTGGTAGAGGTAGGGATGGAGGTGACAGCATGGGTAGGGATGACGAGAATTGTGGTTCTGACGTTTGCGGTGGTGATAGATGACAGCAGCGCCCACACTAGACTCCATTCTCCCACAGGTGCAGAGTCTAGGCCTACTTGGCCTCCTTCCTGACTTCCACTTCCTTTTTCTCCTCGTCCCCTCTCTACATCTGTTTTCTAGTCCTTCCATGTTTCTTCCACCTCTAAGAATCTTCCAGGATGGAAGAACTCTGCTACCAACAAGGCCCAGGACAGAGGTTGTCAGAGCAGTAGCAGCAACAACAACAGCAGCCTTGCTTCCTTCCAGATGTTTCCAGGGCAGCAGCCAACCTTGTCCTGGCAGTCCTGTGCATACACTGCAGTAATTACATTATTTGTGGCTTCAATTTTGAATCCATTTTCTGGTCATTTTACAGTAACTCGATGGTTCACAGTCATTGTAGGAGTCCCCAGCCTGAATACACCCTCCCTTCCACGGCAATTGTAGTTATAGCTGAAATTATCCCAATCAATTTGTGTCTTAAAAGGAATTGAGCCACCCAGAGAATAAGTGCAGGCAGAGGAGCCTGGGGAGTGCTGGGTCGATTCCAGCCTGCTCTGGCCAGGCTTGGAAGAAAACACAGTGCTTTCTGAGCTGCTGGCTCAGATCCTGCTTGGCAGACATTCTTCTTTTAATTTTCCACAAAACACTTCAAAATAAAGGCAATAGTGAAAGTCCCTTTTAATAGGGAAAGGCCTCCTGGGCCTCCAGCAGGAGGAAGGACGAATTCAGCCGGAGCTGGTGGGGTAGATGGTGCCAGGTTTTGTGTTTCTGTGTCCCTTTGCCCCACGTGACCTAAGGTGGTTGGATCCAGCTTGGGGGTGGTGGTAGTGGTGGTGGTGGTGGTGGTGGTGGTAACATCATCTAGAAACAATTACTTATCACTGGATTCTTCAGAATTGGGCCTAAGCGCTTCTTGTTGGAAGGGTCCTAACAAAGCTCCTAAGGAATGCAACCTGAAAATCAAAGATGAAAAGGAGTACAGACCAGAAGAGTGTGCAGCTCCTGGGGAAGATGGGAATGTTCCGTGGGATCTAGCCCAGCAGAAGAAAGCCTGGAGGATCAGACAGCATTGCTTCCATCTATGGAAGAGGGAGGCTACCTGCCAGATTTGAAAACCTGAGATACAGTGCCATACACTAACCCCCCCTGCCTACGTCTGTGTGTGCATGTGCTGGCAATAGAATCCAAGGCATATGCCAGATGAGCGCTCTACCACTGGACCACACTCCTACTTGAGTGTATACCTTTGTGGCTGATTAAAATTCTATTGTTTAATTATGTGCCAATCTGTCTGTTCTCTTATAGATGGTCCTTTCATCCATTTTCTGGCTTATGGTTGTTAACAGAAAAATGACTAGATAGAAGTATCTTTCTGTGCAAAAGGTTTGGTAGATGAATAGTGTGGTGGTTTGAAAGAAACCGGCCCCCACAGAGAGCAGCACTTTAGGAAGTATGGCCTGGTTGGAGTAGGTGTGGCCTTGTTGGAGGAAGTGTGTCACTGTGGGAGTGGGCCTTGAGTTCTCCTATGTTCAAGCTATACCCAGTGTGGAACACAGTTCACTTCCTATTGCCTGCAGATCAAGATGTAGAACTCTCAGCTGCTCCCTCCAGCACCCTGTCTCCCTGCACATCGCCATGTCCCACCATAAAGATAATGAGCTAAACCTCTGAAACTGTAAGGCCAGCCCCAATTAAATGTTTTCTTTATAAGAGTTGCCGTGGTCATGGTGTCTCTTCACAGCAACAGAAATCCTAACTAAGACACATAAATACACGCAAACAATGCTGTGGTGAAGCTGAATCCATCCTACCAGCCTTGTGTACAAGAAACAAATCTCAGCAGTCACGTCTCACCACACACAGAGACAAATCAGTGAGCCAGCCATGAAAGACACAACCACAGGACTCCCAGAAGCAAACGGGGGGAGACTGTCTTTGGGACAGACGAAGAAAGACTTCTTAACCAGAACACACAATGGGAATTATTAATAAATCAGACTTGTGACAACGAAAAGCTTTGCTTCTCATGAGATACGAATACTAAGAGAGCACTAAAGGCAATCCCACATATAATGGATATAATACATATAGAAATGCATAAAGTCACACACACCCAAAATGACTCTTCCAGAATATATAAAAAACTCCTTTAAGTCAACAAGGAAATAACAAGCAGCGCAATTTTTTAAAAGGTCATTGAAAGGTTCAAAAAAAGCACTCCAAAAAAAGGAGAAAAAGAATATTCAAATGACCTATTCAATATTCAAATTAGCACAGTGGGGCATGGTAGGTCTTATGGGGCAATGGGACACAGAAGCACAAAACCTGGCACCACCTACCCGACCGGCTCTGGCTGAATTAGTCCTTCCTCCTGCACTGAGCCCTACGAGGCCTTTCCCCATTAAAAGGGACTTCCATTGTCTAATCATCTGATAAATATAAAAGAAAACCACAATAAGACAACCACTTAACAAATCAACATAATGGCTTAAAATCTTTAAAAAAAAATCTTAAAAAGTCTAACTGACCTTCCTGCATGTTAGCATAGGTGGAGGACACCTGTCAGCCTTGTGCGTGGCCGTGGGAGTGCAAATTTGTGCAACCACCTATGAAACTGTTTGGCTGAACACGTGACCCCGTGCTTCAACTCCTAAAAACACACTCAACAAAACTGGGTACCTGTGCCCCCTGAAGACAAGCACACAGCCGTTCACAGAAACACTGAGCAACTCTAGGGCTTGTGGAGAGTGAGATGGCATTTTTCAAAGGGCCATGAGTACTGCCGGGTTCGACACTGCAGGTGATGGGTCGTGGGACCCAATAAGCAAAGCTCATAAAGGAGATGCTGAGTGACTCTAGCCTAACCTTAGGACCTCTGAGGCCAGGTCGAAGCAGTGCATGTCAGCAGCACGGAGTGACGGCAGCCATAAGCAGACAGCACAGTCACAGGGGTTCCCAGAGGCCCTCGAAGGGGCTCGCCTGCTCGCTGGCTTCATCTGGGCGCTAGGGATGCTGTCCTGAACTGACTTAGACAGGTTTGTTTCTCTCTGAGTACTCCCTGGCCAAGCCCAGGCTGGACTCTTTTCTCCTGCATCATTCTCTGTGGTCCCCAGGCCTGGCTCCATCTTCCCAGCCACGAGAACCGGAAGTTCTGCAATGGCAGGGGACTGGCCATCTCCTCCTTTCTCACCTTGTGACCCCTAACTTCTGCCACACAGCAAATGCTCACCAGGGACTCCTGTCTTCCTGCAAATCCATCCTGCTGTCCATGTCACCCTTGTCCTTACTGTTTCCCATATCCTTCAGAACACAGCTGAGATACCCCCTTACTCCAGGAAGCCCTCCTGCTTGTGCCAGCACTTGTGGTGGATCATGACCATTCTCTGGCTGTCGTGGCTGTTGGTCCTATGACCCAACTTCCTAATATCTTGGCTGTGACCTGTACAGGGGCGAAGCTTTGTCTCCCTCTGGGATTATCAGGAGAAATTTAAAGTGACTTCAACATACCGGGAATTTGTTCATCCTGTCTCTCACTTGTATATCAGGTCAGACCCTCACTGATGACTTTGTGCACTCTGGGTACGGGTCCATGATAGGTGAGCTGGTTAGTTTTGTCAACTTGACACAAACTGGAGACACTTGGGAGGAGGGGATTGCAACTAAGGAATTGCTCCCATCAGACTGGCCTGTGGGCATGTCTGTGGGCTATTGCCTTGATTGATGATGCAAGAGGGCCCAGCCTACTGTGGGTGGTGCCACCCCGGCAGGTGGTCCTGGGTCTTATGAGAAAGCAGGTGAGCACAAGCAGGGGAAGAGAAGCAGTGAGCATGGTCTCTGCTTCAGCTCCTGCCTCCAGTCTCTGCCTTGGCTTTCCTCCAAATTGGATTTGGTCCGTGTTTTATCATAGCAACGTGAAGCAAACTAGGTTACATAGTACAGTAATAGGGACTTTAATAGGGACTGTAGTCTGGTGGAAGAGAAAGACACACACACACACACACACAGAGACAGAGACAGACAGACAGATAGACAGAGACAGAGAGACACACCTAGGAGTTGAGATTGCAAAAAAAAAGTCTAGGGTTATAAAGATGGAGGTGAGGAGGCCTGGCCTTATCTTATCAAGAATATAAGGAGAAGAATGAGTTAGTTCAACACCAGCAAGGCTGGGTGCAGGTAGGGTGGGCGTATTTGAAGCAAGGGGAACAGGATGTACAAAAGCCCCGAGGAGGGAGATAGAGCTAGAATGCATAACTCAGTCTAAGGGACTGGGTGCCCAGATATAGCAGGAAGGTCAAGCTGGGGCTACATTGGCCAGGATCTACTGATGCCCTGAGGATGGGGCACACTATCTAAGGCTCTAGGGGAGTAAGCTGTGTGGTCTGATACGGATGGTTCTGCCTCTGGCTGGCTTCTGGGAGTGGATGGTTCTGCCTCTGGTCTCTGTGGACACCTGGCAGTAATGCATAGGAAGTGTAAGTGCTGGGAGGAAGTGCCCTGGGAAGGCTCCCAAACTGTGCTCTGCTGCCACCAGGCTGGGGAAGGTGCCTATGCTGGATCACAAAACATCACTAGCCAGACAGCGACAGCATAGCCTCCGAGCTCGCTGAACCCATGAGGGCCTCTGATCTGACTCCAGGCGTTTGCTGAGACCTGAAATTTCTGTGGCTAGGTCTGATCCGGTGCAGTCATTAACACATGGGTGTCAGCATGGCAGGGAGATGGATTGTTTGCTTCCTGGTGCTGGCCGCAGGGTATGCTGGGAACAATCAAGAAGACTAGTTCAGGGAGGCAGGGTTCAGGACTAAGCCAGGGAGCGTGGAGTGATGCTCATGAACGTCAGACATGAGAGCTCAACCTCATGGAGCCTCTGACCTTAGGTACACACTGGAGAAGAGGGAAAGCCCTTGTGGGAGTCAGGCCTGGCCTTGATGGCCGAGTATGTGGAGGGCCAGGGAGCTGAGTGCACCCACAGCAAAGTCCTGTTTATTATTAGAGTGTCAGACACAGTCCTAAGCACTTAATAGAGGCACTCTGTCCAACACAGCTGAGGTCAGAGTTGTAGGGATGTCAGCGTCCATCCTCTGCAGACTCAGTGAGCTCAGAAGCTAACCCACAGTGGGACTTCAGAAAACAGAGCCACTGGCAGGTAACATCCTGGCGGCTCTGCTCCTGGCAGCCCGGGAGATCAAGCGAATTAGAAACCAGGAACTCCTTAGAGAGACAAGGCTAGCCTGTGGGCGAGTCTCAGCCTGCCATGGATGATGCTAACCCCTCGCCTCAATTTATAGGGGTCCTAGAGAGTGACTCTTAGGTTCTCTTCATTCACTGATACGTTCAACAATTACTTCACTGAGCAGTTAGTACAGTTCCTTATCCTTCAGGTGCCCCAGAAATGGAGCAAATATCAAGAGAGTCTTCCCTTCAGTCATCTGAGGGAGAAGATAAAGTACATTAAAAACCCAATGATTTAACTAAAAATTGTGATATGAGCTTTGATGGGTTATGATATCATATTTCGGAAAGGATGACCTAGTCATTTTGGAAATGAGATTCCTTAGGCTTGAGATCTTTAAATGGTTACATGGAAATCTAAGGTTCTATGGAAGCTATTTCCAGTTATCTAAGCCTTTAAGTTGAATTTGAATTAAATATATATGTAAAAATATAGTTCAGATATGCAGTCTCCCTCGGGATCCGCAGGGAATTGGTTCCAGGACCCCCTGCAGATATCAGACTCGCAGATGCTGGGTCCCTGGCGCAGAGGGGCTTGGTATTTGCATATATCTTCCACACACTACGCCTTATGCTCTATCGTCTCAAGACGCCTCATCCCACAATGCAATGCAAATGCTATGTAAATAGGCGCTGTGCTTATTGTTTAGGGAAAATGACACAGAAAAGTCTATATATGTTTAGTACAGAAGAAATTCTTTTTTTTCCTCTTGGCGTTTTTGGTTCATGGTTTGTTGAAATCATAGACGTAGAGCCTATGGGCCTGGAGGGCTGGCACACATACATGAGATTATGTATATGAGCTGTCTTTTAAAAGACATTAAAATGGGGCTAGAGAGATGGCTCAGTGGTTAAGAGCACTGGTTGCTCTAGCAGAGGACCCAAGTTCAGTTCCCAGCACCCACACAGCAGCTCATAATCAAACCCCATTTCCATGGGGATCTGACACCCTCTCCTGGCTTCTGCAGGCACTGCACATATGTGGTGCCCACACACGCGAAGGTAAACACTCATACACATAAAACAAAAGTAAATAAATCTTTAAAGAACGTAGTAACAAAACAAACAAACAAAACAACCCACTGTGCACTTGGGTGTGCTGTGTAGCACACTGGCAACTGGCTATTCACCCAGGAACTGAGAAGTTAGTTACCGGTGTGTGTGTGTGTGTGTGTGTGTGTGTGTGTGTGTGTGTGTGTGTACCTCTGGACAGTGGTATTTCACTCTCTTTTAATCTGTTTTTACCTTACTTTAAGAATTCAGGTGTGGGACAACTTGAACTAGACTCACCACAACTTGCTATTGCGAGCCAAGACTTTCTAGTGATGATGTCGGCAACAGAAACTACAGACACACACTGAATACAACAGAAACTACACACAACACTGAATACAACAGAAACTACACACACACTGAATACAACAGAAACTACACACACACTGAATACAACAGAAACTACAGACAACACTGAATACAACAGAAACTACACACGCACTGAATACAACAGAAACTACAGACAACACTGAATACAACAGAAACTACACACGCACTGAATACAACAGAAACTACACACACACTGAATACAACAGAAACTACACACGCACTGAATACAACAGAAACTACAGACAACACTGAATACAACAGAAACTACACACACACTGAATACAACAGAAACTACACACACACACTGAATACGGGACCAGGGTCAGACTCAGGGCTCATCTGTAGCCTCTGGGGTCAAGCTGCTACAGGCCCTGAGCAGTGTGCCATGTTCATGAGGTCTTTTTATGGCAGGCAGATGGTGTGCTCTCCGGCTAATACTGTATCTGTTTTATATGTTTGTTACCTATTGCTACTTGAGTAGGATACCAATGAAAGATAAAGTAAGTTCCGTAGCAAGGTGACTATGGTTAATAATAATGTATTGCATATTTTGAAATAGCTAAAAGAGAGGATTTGCATTGTTCTTACCATAAAGAAATTATGAATGTTAGATGTGGTGGGTGTGTGAGGTCCTCTGATTTGAGCAATATGTAAGGTACACATGTATCCAAACAGCACATTCTATATCATAAATAATTATATTTGTCCATTAAAAATAAAACTAATAGAAAAGAAAACTCAAGTTTGAAAATGTTCATGTTGGTTTAAAGGTCCTGGAGACCTTGGCTGGCTTCCTTTCAGGCAATCCCAGCCCCTGCCTACCTTTCCTGCACTTGTCAATCACCCTTCATAGCCTTCCAGGGTCCTGCTGTGTAGTTCAGGCTGACCTCGAACTTGCTGTATAGCCCAGACTGGCCTGGAGCTCATGATCTTCCCTTGGCTTCCTGGCTGCTGGCATTATAGGCTACAGCACTATGCCTGGCTAGCCTAGGACTTCCTCGCAGCCCCCACCCCTGCTCCTGGGGGATTAGTATAGGGTGCCCTAGGCAAGAGAAAGCATCAGGCCCCCAAACCAAGCAGGAAAGGCTTCAACCCCCCCCCTCCCCAATTTTGAAGTGCACAGTGAGGATCTGCATGCTCACCTTTCTTGGTTGCCTCAAAGCTGTCGTGGAAATGAATCCTTTGAATGTCGTAAGTCAAGGTTGTGTTGGGCAGCAGAGTCCTGTTCCTGTTGATGATGTTGGCAGAAAATCGAAAGGCATGCTCCTCGGCGTTCATGACCTGGGCGTTGGGGCCGTCCGCATACTCAAAGATTCCTCCTGTGAGAGATGACAGAGCTGTGTGTGGGAAGGAAGGATGGGGCTGGAGCAAGGATGCTCCATTCAGGTTATATAGACAAAGTCTTCCCACCCCAGTGTTCAATAAGATCCTAGATAATTTCCATGTTCAAAAATTATACATTTTACCCAACTAGCAAATTCCTGCTAACAAAATCTGACAGGCCAAAATAAGATTACCAACTTAATACTGCTATGAAAATTCTTAATAGAGTTCTGGCAAGTAGAATCTACCAGAATATTACAAGGCTAACATACCATGACCACATAGTTTTATTTCAGGAATGCAAGACCAGTTCAATATAAAGGAATCTGTGAATACCATTCCACCACATCAATAGTTCGAAGGAGATTAAAAATATGATCAACTCTCAAAATTCAGGAAGGCATCTGATGAAATCCAGTGTCTACTGCCATAAAGAATGTTTAATAAGACAGCAGCGGGAAAGACTCTTCCTTCGAGCAACTTTAGCTCACATCAGCCTTAATATTGCAGTAACTAATATCTAATGAAACACTAGAGGCGTTCTTGTCAAAGGACGAATTAAAAAAAAAAGTGTTGGTAAAGATTCACACTACGCCACTAACCCGTAAAACGAGACAGAAAGTGAATTGAGAGGCATGACTTCTGCAAAGGTGCAAATTCCTATTTGCACAAGGTGTAAATATTAATATATTGTGATTGTATTCACTCCCATACGTCTCTTATCTCCCTCCCCCTCTACTGTCTCTATTGTGACCTTTTCTTTTCTCACGTATATACCAGTCTTGTGTAGACGGTCGTGGTTGCTGCAGATCAGGACTGCAGTGACCATGCCACACCCATAAGCCAGCATTTCCCGGCGCTCCTCCCTAGCCTCGGGCTCTTCCTGTCTTTCCACCCCCTTTTCTGCAACGTTCCCTGGGCCTCACAGGGCTAATGTGGATGTCCTGCTTAGGGCTGAATATGCAACACACACTTATTCTTAGCACTTTGACCAAGTATGAATCTCTGCTCTGACCACTGCATAGAGCCCACAGAGGCTTTTCTGACCAAGGTTGCCCTAATCTATGGATATAAACAGAAAAAATTAGAAGGCAGCTTAACTGCATGAGAATTTATCAAATCATTAGTAGTAGATTTTTTTTTCTGTAAGGCCCGGTATATGCCTAGCTACAGGTTTTGGAGCAAGATTATAGGATAAGGCACAGATTCTTTTCCATGGAGCAGGCCTCAGATCCAATCAGGAATTGGCTGGCTATGCCTGGAACATCAATGCTACTATTGCATCTGTGGGTGCAATGGAAAAAAAATCAACCCCCAGCCATGAAGACAGGTGAGAATGGTGAGGGAGAGGATAATAACTAGTCAGCACATATTAACAGTGCCTCTTTATGTCAGTGAGGACTCACAAGGACACCCAACAGCAAAAGGTCCCCCTTAACAACATCAGCACACATAGTAAACAACAAATAATAACCCAAATACAAAGATGCAATTCTAATAGCTTACGGTGCAAACAAATTAAACATCTTAAGCAAGAGAGATAACAAGCCAGAAGTGGCAGCACATGGCTTTAATCCCAGCACTCAGGAGGCAGGGACCGGTGGATCTCTGTGTTTCAGAGACATGCCAGGGCTACAGAGTGAGATCCTGGTGGGAGGCAGTGAGACAGAGACGGAGAGGCATGCACACATAGCTCCAATGCTGTTGTTCCTTGGAAAAGTAAAATTTCAGGTCTCAGTTTTCTCCAAAGTCATTTTTCAGTTTAATTCAACTCCAGTCACAACCACAAAAGACTTCTCTTTCACTTAGACAAAATGACTCTAAAACGTGAAAGCTAAACATAAGATAATGACGGAAAAAAGTCTTTGCAGGAATGATGAAAGGTGACTTGTATTATCAGATTTTAAAATATATCATTAAGCCAAAATAATTAAAACCATGTTGTAATAGCGTCTGAAAACACAGGAGATCAAGAGAATGAGATAAAAAGCCTTAGAAAGAGGCTCAAGCAGAGACAAGTATCTAAAACATGAATGGGAAGATGTTTCGCAGCAGTGGCAAAAGAATGAATTATTCATTAATTGTGTCCTGACAATTATTCTATTATTTGGGATTTCAGGGGTTTTTAAATTTTTGACACGAGGATTGAGTCGAGGATTTCATACATGCTAGGCAAGCACACTACCACTGAGACACATGCCTGGCTCTCCAGATTCCAATCTTATCTCCACATATCAAAACAATTTCCAGATGAATTAAAGATTAGCAAGAAAATAAGAGAAAGGGGAAAAAGAACACTATAAAATTGCCAAAAATAGAAAATAGGGGCGAACAGTATATAATATTGGGCTAGAAAAAGCCTGTCTAAGTACTTCAATGAAATCAGAAAATGTGGGAGAAAGACTGCTAAGCAAGTGATTTCTAAGCACCAAAATCACCACGGACAACACTGAATGGCGAGAGGCTAACTTGAAATATCTGCACCACAGACAGCAGCATAAAAGTTAATGTTATGAAAAGCACTGAGGTTCAGAGCAAAAGAGACAGATACGCCAGTGTGAGCAGGTGCAAAGGAAAAGTATGGGCACTCCATTAACAACAACAAAATGGAAACAAGCTGTCAGGGGTGGAGAGAGGTGTCACCTTTCCTGGTGACGAAATACTCAACTGAAATCAACAATGAGATGCTGGTTTAGCTCATCTGACAGGCGTAGGAGAAGGCAGATCCTAACTCAGGGGCCCCTGCTTCATTGTTGGCAGATGGGGAAATGGCACACAATGCTTTTCCTTTCCTTTCTTTCTTTTTTTTTTTTTTTTTTTTTTTTTTTGGTTTTTTCGAGACAGGGTTTCTCTGTGTAGCTTTGCGCCTTTCCTGGAACTCACTTGGTAGCCCAGGCTGGCCTCGAACTCACAGAGATCCGCCTGGCTCTGCCTCCCGAGTGCTGGGATTAAAGGCGTGCGCCACCACCGCCCGGCCCTTTCCTTTCTTTTTAATTTAACTTCTTTATTGGCTCTTTGAGAGTTTCACATCCTGCACCTCAATTCCACTCACCTCCTGGTACCCCCATATCCTCCCCTCACCCCTGCAGCTCCCCCCAACAAAAGAAAACAAAGCAAAGTAAGCAAGCAAGTAAACAAACAACAAAAAACACACAAAACAACAACAACAACAAGAAGAACGCTCTGCTTCTCCTTCTTTCCTGCCTCTCCACACCTCTCCATGCGTCCTGGTGGCATGGGGTCCTCTCACACTGCTTTTCCTAATGGCCATGTATGGAGAAGATCTAGACACACCCAACCAGGGGACGGAAAGCCGTGAACAGCCATGGAACTGTAAAAATTTCATGGTATGACTCCTCATTAGAGAAACTTCTCTTTGTAACAGATGGTGTCTTAGTCAGGGTTTCTGTTGCTGCAACAAAACACTATGATCAAAAAGCAAGTTGCGGGGCGGGGGGTGGGGTGGGTGGGGTGCTGAGAGGGGTGTTCTTTGCCTACAATTTCAGATCATAGTTCATCATTGGAGGAAGTCAGGACAGGAACTCAAGCAGGGCAGGAACCTGGAGGCAGGAGCTGATGCAGAGGTCATGGAGGGGGGCCGCTTGGTGCCTTGCTTCCTGTGGCCTGCTCAACCTGCCTTTTTTTTTTTTTTAAATAGAACCCAGTACCACTGAAAGGGAATAATCAGTAGCCATCTTGAGAGACGCTTCCCCCTCTCCTCCTAAAATTGCTGACCAGCAGTTTTAGAAGTGATCAGAAGTTGAACTTAAGGCTGGAACAATAAATCTATGTATCCTGGACTTGGCAAAACAAGATATGGGGAGTAATGGACTCAACTGACCAGAAGTTGACCTTACAGGAGAGCAGGACTGCAACAATAAATCTGAATGTATATCCCGGGTTTAACAAAAGCAGGACAGAGGGAGTAAAAATTTATGTCTCTATAGATACCCTGAATCCTGTTAACTATAAGCCATCAGTAACCTCAGGCTTATAGTTCAGCCAGTAACTTCAAAGAACTGCCTCACCCCTAGCCCCCTCGTCCACTCCCAAGCTGCATGTAAACTTTTCCTATATAAACCCCTTAAAGTGAGTGCTGGGTCCATTCTCCTCCACCTGCTGTGTCAGAGGTTGGATGGTGGACTAAGCTTGTTTTGTTAATAAAAACCTCTGTGTGCTTGCATGGGATAATGGCTTTGTGGTGGTCTTGCTTGGGGGTCTTACCCGGGCACAACACCACCAGCCCAGGGATGGCCCCATCCACCATGAGCTGGGTCTTCCCCCATTGATCACTAAATGAGAAAATGCCTTACCGTTGGATCTCATCAAGGGATTTCCTCAACTGAGGCTCCTTCCTCTGATGACTCTAGCTGTGTCAAGTTGACACATAAAATCAGCCAGGACAGATGGAGACCATTACAGAAAACCACAACCAATCAAAATGTAGAGTTGTGGAGCTCAGTCCCAGTGGACACCACCTCACCACAACTCCTGTACCTAAAGCATTGCAGAGGGGGCAGAAAGAGCCAGAGGACCAGGAGGTTTGCTGTGAGCTTGTGTCTCCTAGAAATGTCAGAGAAGCTATATCCAGGAAGTCTCACCAACAGGGCTGCTAAACAAGACCTGAACAAGGATGCCACCTTGTCAGATATGCTAACAGGGAAGAGGGAAAGTTCACCAGGCCTCAACCCATAGACAAGAACCACAGGTACCTAAGGATGCTGGTAACAGGAGAAACAGTCTTCCCCAGGGACGGGTACACAGGTTGGTTATCCTATATCAAATGGCCAGCCCTGGAGACATATACATGTATTACACAGACGGAGCAGGTTATATTTCTATATTTAGGGGTGTGTGTGTGTGTGTGTGTGTGTGTGTGTGTGTGTGTGTATGTGTGTGTGTGCGTGTGTGTGTGTGCGTGTATGTGTGTGTGTGTGTGTGTGTGTGTATAACAACAATGAAAGAAAAAGAGACCATGAATTTGAGCGAGAGCAAA